GGTTGCGGAGAAGCCCAGGCTCCTCTAAACTCCGTACAGTAACTGAGATTTACATCAGGTTGCGGAGAAGCCCAGGCTCCTCTAAACTCTGTACAGTAACTGAGATTTACATCAGGTTGCGGAGAAGCCCAGGCTCCTCTAAACTCTGTACAGTAACTGAGATTTACATCAGGTTGCGGAGAAGCCCAGGCTCCTCTAAACTCTGTACAGTAACTGAGATTTACATCAGGTTGCGGAGAAGCCCAGGCTCCTCTAAACTCCGTACAGTAACTGAGATTTACATCAGGTTGCGGAGAAGCCCAGGCTCCTCTAAACTCCGTACAGTAACTGAGATTTACATCAGGTTGCGGAGAAGCCCAGGCTCCTCTAAACTCTGTACAGTAACTGAGATTTACATAAGGTTGCGGAGAAGCCCAGGCTCCTCTAAACTCTGTACAGTAACTGAGATTTACATCAGGTTGCGGAGAAGCCCAGGCTCCTCTAAACTCCGTACAGTAACTGAGATTTACATCAGGTTGCGGAGAAGCCCAGGCTCCTCTAAACTCCGTACAGTAACTGAGATTTACATCAGGTTGCGGAGAAGCCCAGGCTCCTCTAAACTCCGTACAGTAACTGAGATTTACATCAGGTTGCGGAGAAGCCCAGGCTCCTCTAAACTCCGTACAGTAACTGAGATTTACATCAGGTTGCGGAGAAGCCCAGGCTCCTCTAAACTCCGTACAGTAACTGAGATTTACATCAGGTTGCGGAGAAGCCCAGGCTCCTCTAAACTCGTACAGTAACTGAGATTTACATCAGGTTGCGGAGAAGCCCAGGCTCCTCTAAACTCCGTACAGTAACTGAGATTTACATCAGGTTGCGGAGAAGCCCAGGCTCCTCTAAACTCCGTACAGTAACTGAGATTTACATCAGGTTGCGGAGAAGCCCAGGCTCCTCTAAACTCCGTACAGTAACTGAGATTTACATCAGGTTGCGGAGAAGCCCAGGCTCCTCTAAACTCTGTACAGTAACTGAGATTTACATCAGGTTGCGGAGAAGCCCAGGCTCCTCTAAACTCTGTACAGTAACTGAGATTTACATCAGGTTGCGGAGAAGCCCAGGCTCCTCTAAACTCTGTACAGTAACTGAGATTTACATCAGGTTGCGGAGAAGCCCAGGCTCCTCTAAACTCCGTACAGTAACTGAGATTTACATCAGGTTGCGGAGAAGCCCAGGCTCCTCTAAACTCTGTACAGTAACTGAGATTTACATCAGGTTGCGGAGAAGCCCAGGCTCCTCTAAACTCCGTACAGTAACTGAGATTTACATCAGGTTGCGGAGAAGCCCAGGCTCCTCTAAACTCTGTACAGTAACTGAGATTTACATCAGGTTGCGGAGAAGCCCAGGCTCCTCTAAACTCCGTACAGTAACTGAGATTTACATCAGGTTGCGGAGAAGCCCGGGCTCCTCTAAACTCTGTACAGTAACTGAGATTTACATCAGGTTGCGGAGAAGCCCAGGCTCCTCTAAACTCCGTACAGTAACTGAGATTTACATCAGGTTGCGGAGAAGCCCAGGCTCCTCTAAACTCTGTACAGTAACTGAGATTTACATCAGGTTGCGGAGAAGCCCAGGCTCCTCTAAACTCCGTACAGTAACTGAGATTTACATCAGGTTGCGGAGAAGCCCAGGCTCCTCTAAACTCTGTACAGTAACTGAGATTTACATCAGGTTGCGGAGAAGCCCAGGCTCCTCTAAACTCCGTACAGTAACTGAGATTTACATCAGGTTGCGGAGAAGCCCAGGCTCCTCTAAACTCCGTACAGTAACTGAGATTTACATCAGGTTGCGGAGAAGCCCAGGCTCCTCTAAACTCCGTACAGTAACTGAGATTTACATCAGGTTGCGGAGAAGCCCAGGCTCCTCTGAACTCCGTACAGTAACTGAGATTTACATCAGGTTGCGGAGAAGCCCAGGCTCCTCTAAACTCTGTACAGTAACTGAGATTTACATCAGGTTGCGGAGAAGCCCAGGCTCCTCTAAACTCCGTACAGTAACTGAGATTTACATCAGGTTGCGGAGAAGCCCAGGTTCCTCTAAACTCCGTACAGTAACTGAGATTTACATCAGGTTGCGGAGAAGCCCAGGCTCCTCTAAACTCCGTACAGTAACTGAGATTTACATCAGGTTGCGGAGAAGCGCAGGCTCCTCTAAACTCCGTACAGTAACTGAGATTTACATCAGGTTGCGGAGAAGCCCAGGCTCCTCTAAACTCTGTACAGTAACTGAGATTTTACATCAGGTTGTGGAAAACTCCGTACAGTAACTGAGATTTACATCAGGTTGCGGAGAAGCCCAGGCACCTCTAAACTCCGTACAGTAACTAAGATTTACATCAGGTTGCGGAGAAGCCCAGGCTCCTCTAAACTCTGTACAGTAACTGAGATTAACATCAGGTTGCGGAGAAGCCCAGGCTCCTCTAAACTCCGTACAGTAACTGAGATTTACATCAGGTTGCGGAGAAGCCCAGGCTCCTCTAAACTCTGTACAGTAACTGAGATTTACATCAGGTTGCGGAGAAGCCCAGGCTCCTCTAAACTCCGTACAGTAACTGAGATTTACATCAGGTTGCGGAGAAGCCCAGGCTCCTCTAAACTCTGTACAGTAACTGAGATTTACATCAGGTTGCGGAGAAGCCCAGGCTCCTCTAAACTCCGTACAGTAACTGAGATTTACATCAGGTTGCGGAGAAGCCCAGGCTCCTCTAAACTCTGTACAGTAACTGAGATTTACATCAGGTTGCGGAGAAGCCCAGGCTCCTCTAAACTCTGTACAGTAACTGAGATTAACATCAGGTTGCGGAGAAGCCCAGGCTCCTCTAAACTCCGTACAGTAACTGAGATTTACATCAGGTTGCGGAGAAGCCCAGGCTCCTCTAAACTCTGTACAGTAACTGAGATTTACATCAGGTTGCGGAGAAGCCCAGGCTCCTCTAAACTCTGTACAGTAACTGAGATTTACATCAGGTTGCGGAGAAGCCCAGGCTCCTCTAAACTCCGTACAGTAACTGAGATTTACATCAGGTTGCGGAGAAGCCCAGGCTCCTCTAAACTCCGTACAGTAACTGAGATTTACATCAGGTTGCGGAGAAGCCCAGGCTCCTCTAAACTCTGTACAGTAACTGAGATTTACATCAGGTTGCGGAGAAGCCCAGGCTCCTCTAAACTCCGTACAGTAACTGAGATTTACATCAGGTTGCGGAGAAGCCCAGGCTCCTCTAAACTCCGTACAGTAACTGAGATTTACATCAGGTTGCGGAGAAGCCCAGGCTCCTCTAAACTCCGTACAGTAACTGAGATTTACATCAGGTTGCGGAGAAGCCCAGGCTCCTCTAAACTCCGTACAGTAACTGAGATTTACATCAGGTTGCGGAGAAGCCCAGGCTCCTCTAAACTCCGTACAGTAACTGAGATTTACATCAGGTTGCGGAGAAGCCCAGGCTCCTCTAAACTCTGTACAGTAACTGAGATTTACATCAGGTTGCGGAGAAGCCCAGGCTCCTCTAAACTCTGTACAGTAACTGAGATTTACATCAGGTAGCGGAGAAGCCCAGGCTCCTCTAAACTCTGTACAGTAACTGAGATTTACATCAGGTTGCGGAGAAGCCCAGGCTCCTCTAAACTCCGTACAGTAACTGAGATTTACATCAGGTTGCGGAGAAGCCCAGGCTCCTCTAAACTCCGTACAGTAACTGAGATTTACATCAGGTTGCGGAGAAGCCCAGGCTCCTCTAAACTCTGTACAGTAACTGAGATTTACATAAGGTTGCGGAGAAGCCCAGGCTCCTCTAAACTCTGTACAGTAACTGAGATTTACATCAGGTTGCGGAGAAGCCCAGGCTCCTCTAAACTCCGTACAGTAACTGAGATTTACATCAGGTTGCGGAGAAGCCCAGGCTCCTCTAAACTCCGTACAGTAACTGAGATTTACATCAGGTTGCGGAGAAGCCCAGGCTCCTCTAAACTCCGTACAGTAACTGAGATTTACATCAGGTTGCGGAGAAGCCCAGGCTCCTCTAAACTCCGTACAGTAACTGAGATTTACATCAGGTTGCGGAGAAGCCCAGGCTCCTCTAAACTCCGTACAGTAACTGAGATTTACATCAGGTTGCGGAGAAGCCCAGGCTCCTCTAAACTCCGTACAGTAACTGAGATTTACATCAGGTTGCGGAGAAGCCCAGGCTCCTCTAAACTCCGTACAGTAACTGAGATTTACATCAGGTTGCGGAGAAGCCCAGGCTCCTCTAAACTCCGTACAGTAACTGAGATTTACATCAGGTTGCGGAGAAGCCCAGGCTCCTCTAAACTTCGTACAGTAACTGAGATTTACATCAGGTTGCGGAGAAGCCCAGGCTCCTCTAAACTCTGTACAGTAACTGAGATTTACATCAGGTTGCGGAGAAGCCCAGGCTCCTCTAAACTCCGTACAGTAACTGAGATTTACATCAGGTTGCGGAGAAGCCCAGGCTCCTCTAAACTCCGTACAGTAACTGAGATTTACATCAGGTTGCGGAGAAGCCCAGGCTCCTCTAAACTCTGTACAGTAACTGAGATTTACATCAGGTTGCGGAGAAGCCCAGGCTCCTCTAAACTCTGTACAGTAACTGAGATTTACATCAGGTTGCGGAGAAGCCCAGGCTCCTCTAAACTCTGTACAGTAACTGAGATTTACATCAGGTTGCGGAGAAGCCCAGGCTCCTCTAAACTCTGTACAGTAACTGAGATTTACATCAGGTTGCGGAGAAGCCCAGGCTCCTCTAAACTCCGTACAGTAACTGAGATTTACATCAGGTTGCGGAGAAGCCCAGGCTCCTCTAAACTCTGTACAGTAACTGAGATTTACATCAGGTTGCGGAGAAGCCCAGGCTCCTCTAAACTCCGTACAGTAACTGAGATTTACATCAGGTTGCGGAGAAGCCCAGGCTCCTCTAAACTCCGTACAGTAACTGAGATTTACATCAGGTTGCGGAGAAGCCCAGGCTCCTCTAAACGGGACAGTGGAATTTCAAAATGAAACCCATACTACTTATAACTGTGACGAGGGTTTCTCTTTACTGGGTAGGAGGATGGTGACATGTCTTGAGTCAGGGAGTTGGGAGGAAAGGACGTGGTGTTCACCTGGTAGGTCCCGTACAGCAACCAAATCTGGCAGTGTAGACCTTCAGTTCTCTTCTAAGCACAAACTTACTCAAACTTATATAGTGATCAAAAGAGTGCAAACAAAATGCTGTCAAATATTAATAACAAATAACATACAACTCATAACACTGACGCTCAAAACCCGTCCCAGATGAGGGAGGAGGAACTCTAGCTGTCTCCAGACCAGTGTTTGATGCTACCCGGCTGGTCCGGTGGCTGGGCAGATGGCGGTTCAGAGCCCGATGTCCAGGTGGTCATGTCGTCTGGACGTGTAGGTGTCTTCAAACGTAAGTATTGTTGCGTTAGATTGCTGAAATATAGTGGGTTAGCATTTCAGAGTTCCGAAGGATTTGATTAGAGGTTTATTGTACTTTCATCGCAATCTGCGTGTTTGATTGCAGGGCAGATTTTCCCGGGAACTGTGAAGGGAGTGAGATTAGTGTTAATGGAACAGACTGTTATTTCACAAACTCTCCCGACAATAACCTCGTTAAAATGACGGTAAGTGCTCTGTCTTCATCTGTACGTAACGAAACTGAAAGTGTTACTTCTCAGATAAATTCTTCATCATTGTGAAGTTAATGTCAGTATTTATTCCTTCATTCTCCAACTAAAGGGGAACTGAAAGCTAACTTTAAGATAATACAATCCGAGAGGTCAAACAGCAATTTTATTATAGGGATATGCAGTTTGTGTGAAAAACAAGACAGTACCAGATCACTGCGACTATTTCTCTGAGATCCCGGAACTAATCCACACGAGATCCACAGCTTCAAACCACCCCAGCATCTCCTGTGCAGTTTCATCTCACCCTTCTCCTGTTTCCTGTACTGTGGCTGTTATTGAGGGAGACAGCTTAACTCACTGGTATGCTACAACTTAATGTTTTGCTTTCTTTACACTTTAAATCTTCAAGCAGCCGTACCGTCGCCTAATACCAACAATACATGTTCTATTTTGGAAGTCTTGACGATATTATCCATGAAACATGACAGGAGGGAATCAGAAGATGTCACTAAAGGTACAAGTGAGGTGGTGGTAACTGAAGATGGGGTTTGCTCTGTGAAGTGTTTTGACGAGAGTTTAGGATCCTGTGTTCTTAGTCTCATATGTGCTGCATCTGGTGATACGTTAGTGGTCGCTCAGCACCGTGTTCTCTCAGAGATCGTTAGAAATACGAATTTATAAAGTAAATGAGTTTTTGAGAAATCAGTTATTTGAAGAGTAGTATCCACCACATTAGGAGAGTTTTAATTAACACTTTATTATCGTAGGTCTCCGCACATAATGGCAAACTGTCCAACGTGCAAAGAAATGATCTGCCCTCCGTTTAGGGATTGCAGGATCATTGATAACCTACCAACATGTACCATGGGTATGTTGCAAACCTTAAATTTCCTTACTCCTTACTCCTTACTCCTTACTCTTTACTCCTTACTTCTTACTTCTTACTCCTTACTCCTTACTCCTTACTCCTTACTCCTTACTCATTACTCATTACTCATTACTCATTACTCATTACTCCTTGCATCTTAAAAATAACATTTGAGATGATTTATTGATAAACTGTTTAAATTCTTTTGCAGCGTGTGAAGGTTTCCTGGTGCCAGACGGACACGTGAATATCACGGGAACGACAGCTGAGGTCACGTGTGACAACAAATACTCGTACTCTGTGAACAGTAAACACATGTGTACACTAGACGGCAGGTTCGGCCTATTTGATTTTTAATCTTCCTGCGATCTTGACTGAGTTAGCATAAGTTTCTTGGGTTGTTATTCAAAATATTTGGATATCAATCGACAGAAAATCTTTTTATATGGACATCAAGCTTTAATATTTTGTCGCTTTGTCGCTTTCAGTCTCCGCAACTTGACCCGGTGCTATTTGATTTGTATCACTCAGTAATCAATGCTATCTGTTTCAGATGGGAACCACTTCCGGGAAAATGTGTACTGCAAGATTGTGAGACATACCAATGCGAAGAAAACGAATACTGTAGGCTGGTAACCCCTGATCCTCCTCCTTATATACACAGTGACGACCCTTTCCACAACCCCATCTCACCTCAATGCTTCAAAAGTAGGACTTGTCTGACTGATTCAAGCTCGTTGCTTGGTATATAACTGAACTGCAAATCAAGCTGTCGTAATTTTAGTTGAGTTTTTATTGTGGTTCATCGTGGAGACGTTTTAATTCTCACACCTTTATTAATTTTCTTAGAGTGTCCTGAGTTCACGATTCTGAATGGATTTGTAGAAAACGACAACAGTAGCGCCTACATCGTCTGCAAAACGTCAAACTACCGCTTGAGAGGTATTTGCAAAGACGTTTCTTTTAAAGCTAGGCATAAAGATATATTTATTGATGTCTCAACCTTAATAACGAGAAGGTAGGACAAGATAAAAATGAAATCGTAAGCTTTTAATTGAACGCCACGCAATTTACCCAGATATTTTGTAGGATCCAGGTCTCTTGAATGTCTTCCAACTGGTCTATGGAGTGATATAATCCCATCATGTGATCCTACTTTTTGTAGCGTTATGAACTGTGAAACTGGCCAATTCTGTCTTGAAATGGAATATTTCGCCATTTGCAGGTTAGTAAAAACCTACTCCTTCCCTCCTTCAATATATCATTGATCTCATCTCCTTTATCCCAAAGCCCCGATCATCTCTAACCGAATTATCTAATAAACCCAGATCAAGATGTCCAGCTCTCACCATACAGCATGGTACAGTTGATGATCGCAATCTCACCGCACTCATCACATGCGACATCGGCTATTTCCCTGATTATAGTGACAATAGTGAACATGTTGGCGGAGATATTGTTATCACTTGTACCCAGAAAGGAATATGGAACAAGAATATTCCTCACTGTCGGCCAAGTACGTATGACAACATGATAGGAGAAGTACACAAAATACACATTTTCGTTCATTGAGCACCATAAACAGTGTATTGTGGAGTCAAAGCGAAACAAAACATACTCCTGATACTGTTAACCTAGCTTAAAACACCTGCAGAGTGCCCGGAACTGTTAACCTAGCTTAAAACACCTGCAGAGTGCCCGGAACTGTTAACCTAGCTTAAAACACCTGCAGAGTGCCCGGAACTGTTAACCTAGCTTAAAACACCTGCAGAGTGCCCGGAACTGTTAACCTAGCTTAAAACACCTGCAGAGTGCCCAGAACTGTTAACCTAGCTTGAAACACCTGCAGAGTGCCCGGAACTGTTAACCTAGCTTGAAACACCTGCAGAGTGCCCGGAACAGTTAACCTAGCTTAAAACACCTGCAGAGTGCCCGGAACTGTTAACCTAGCTTAAAACACCTGCAGAGTACCCGGAACTGTTAACCTAGCTTAAAACACCTGCAGAGTGCCCGGAACTGTTAACCTAGCTTAAAACACCTGCAGAGTGCCCGGAACTGTTAACCTAGCTTAAAACACCTGCAGAGTGCCCGGAACAGTTAACCTAGCTTAAAACACCTGCAGAGTGCCCGGAACTGTTAACCTAGCTTAAAACACCTGCAGAGTGCCCGGAACTGTTAACCTAGCTTTAAAAAAAACCTGCAGAGTGCCCGGAACTGTTAACCTAGCTTAAAACACCTGCAGAGTGCCCGGAACTGTTAACCTAGCTTAAAACACCTGCAGAGTGCCCGGAACAGTTAACCTAGCTTAAAACACCTGCAGAGCGCCCGGAACAGTTAACCTAGCTTAAAACACCTGCAGAGTGCCCGGAACAGTTAACCTAGCTTAAAACACCTGCAGAGTGCCCGGAACTGTTAACCTAGCTTGAAACACCTGCAGAGTGCCCGGAACTGTTAACCTAGCTTAAAACACCTGCAGAGTGCCCGGAACTGTTAACCTAGCTTAAAACACCCGCAGAGTGCCCGGAACTGTTAACCTAGCTTAAAACACCCGCAGAGTGCCCGGAACTGTTAACCTAGCTCAAAACACCTGCAGAGTGCCCGGAACTGTTAACCTAGCTCAAAACACCTGCAGAGTGCCCGGAACTGTTAACCTAGCTCAAAACACCTGCAGAGTGCCCGGAACTGTTAACCTAGCTTAAAACACCTGCAGAGTGCCCGGAACTGTTAACCTAGCTTAAAACACCTGCAGAGTGCCCGGAACTGTTAACCTAGCTTAAAACACCTGCAGAGTGCCCGGAACAGTTAACCTAGCTTAAAACACCTGCAGAGTGCCCGGAACTGTTAACCTAGCTTAAAACACCTGCAGAGTGCCCGGAACAGTTAACCTAGCTTAAAACACCTGCAGAGTGCCCGGAACAGTTAACCTAGCTTAAAACACCTGCAGAGTGCCCGGAACTGTTAACCTAGCTTAAAACACTTGCAGAGTGCCCGGAACTGTTAACCTAGCTTAAAACACCTGCAGAGTGCCCGGAACTGTTAACCTAGCTTAAAACACCTGCAGAGTGCCCGGAACTGTTAACTTAGCTTAAAACACCTGCAGAGTGCCCGGAACTGTTAACCTAGCTTAAAACACCCGCAGAGTGCCCGGAACTGTTAACCTAGCTTAAAACACCTGCAGAGTGCCCGGAACTGTTAACCTAGCTTAAAACACCTGCAGAGTGCCCGGAACTGTTAACCTAGCTTAAAACACCTGCAGAGTGCCCGGAACTGTTAACCTAGCTTAAAACACCCGCAGAGTGCCCGGAACTGTTAACCTAGCTTAAAACACCCGCAGAGTGCCCGGAACTGTTAACCTAGCTTAAAACACCCGCAGAGTGCCCGGAACTGTTAACCTAGCTTAAAACACCTGCAGAGTGCCCGGAACTGTTAACCTAGCTTAAAACACCCGCAGAGTGCCCGGAACTGTTAACCTAGCTTAAAACACCTGCAGAGTGCCCGGAACTGTTAACCTAGCTTAAAACACCCGCAGAGTGCCCGGAACTGTTAACCTAGCTTAAAACACCCGCAGAGTGCCCGGAACTGTTAACCTAGCTTAAAACACCTGCAGAGTGCCCTGAACTGTTAACCTAGCTTAAAACACCTGCAGAGTGCCCGAAACTGTTAACCTAGCTTAAAACACCTGCAGAGTGCCCGGAACTGTTAACCTAGCTTAAAACACCTGCAGAGTGCCCGGAACTGTTAACCTAGCTTAAAACACCTGCAGAGTGCCCGGAACTGTTAACCTAGCTTAAAACACCTGCAGAGTGCCCGGAACCAGCGCAGCTCACAGAAGGAACAGGAACCCAGCACACAACCCTCTCCTCCGTCACAACAACATGTCACGTGACCCATATTCTGGTCGGCTCAGCGGCCCGAGAGTGTGGGGAGGATGGGCAGTGGAGCGGGGACCCGGCCTCTTGTCATACTGGTTCCTGTGATCTAGTGACGTGTCCGGCGTATTTCAAGTGTGGTTCTGGAGATGGATTTGCTAAATGTGTTCAGTGTAAGTGGATGGTTCTTATATTGAATCCTCCAATCTGAATATGTTTCAGGCTATATTAGTTTCTTGAGACGCCTTTTCTTGCTTTATTCGTAAGACCGAGATTGGAGAAAATATATTGTTTATAGCACCGGGCCTATTTAAATATCTCCAATTGTTACCTTTGGATGTCATTTGCGATAAATATTTGGGTGATTTATTTCATGATTGCGTGGCGAAATTGATGCCAGCAGTGAAATTTATTCTGAAATGGTGAATTCGATTTCAGTTATAGAGTCGGACTTTGAAGACTTCTTATCAGCTTGTCTTCAACGCATTCAATACGAGGATGATTGTGATAAAGAAATTGCAGAGATCGAAGACCTCATACCCGATTCTTTCATCCATAGTTTTGCTAACTCGATATTAAAGGTAAATTATCCACCTGAATCTATTATAATTTATAATTGTGTATTATACAGTTCACGGAAAATAACACTAACAGTCTCTTTATGTCTGCATCGGAATATCAGTTTTTTGGACCAATCAGGAGGTTTCCGTAATATAACACTCGAATGAGTCTCTCATCTATTACAGGTAAAACTGGATGGCAATACTCAGCCCTACTTTATCAGCAAGAAGTTTTTAAGGAAGATTACCCCAAGAGAAAAAGAATTCTCGGAACAGTTCATGACAAGTACAAAAATCTGTTCCATTTTATTTTTGAGTACAGCTCTGTTAAAGCACAATTTTTGACCCAATAAGTTGATTGCTATGCTTGAAGAATGTACCTGTTATCCTGAAAGGAAACAAATAATAATCACTTCTGGATAATAACGACAATTTGTCTCATCTCTTTAGTGATAATAAAGATAGTAGAGCACTACACAGAACATATCGAAACCTTGTTATACCGAGAGAACAGGGAGGTAAAACTGATCAGTTTATTATTTTAAGTTTAAAAACACGTTTATTATACCCTCCTTAATTATCGTAGGGCGTTTTTTGTATAGTTGTCGAGTTCACAAGTTAGCTCAACTCAAACTCTGTTAAATTAATTTGCTAGTATAATTGTGTTATGACTGTCCCGCATCATGATCAGGTTCTTGTCGCGAAGTGTATGCTGATGATAAACTCAAATATCAGAGCTATTCAGCACAAGAACACAGAAGAAAGACCTACAAGAACCAAAAAAGAAGCACGGCAGGTTAGTTTAGTTTTAGATTGTACTTAATCAGCTTGCTAATCTCGTCGCTCTGGTCTATTTTCAATTTTACTATTTCTCTGACGTTTTTAAGGAAGAAATAGTACGAGGCCGCACACAGGATTTGGCATGCTCTTTTTCCGTCGTGGTTGTTTTACAGTCGCTTCGTTTCGGCTTCGCTATAATATTCAAAGTTTTGCAATACTTATTAATATTAACTAACTTTATCGCTCTCCACAAGTTTTCCAAAATTTTACTTCAGGCCTGGCTAGATGCCAGCAAGAAGCATAGAAATAACCCCGGAAAAAAGGAAACAAAGAATCCTGCTTACTCTGGTATACATTCTGGATTATGTTAACCCTCAAGCAGGTGGCTCAAAGATTAATGCAAAATTTGATCGCATCGGAAAAAGATGAATTGTAGCTTTTTATTTTAATTTAGGGTATCAACGTTTATTAATGATTAAACAATTTTGCTTTTACATTTTAAAAGATTACCACACCGTTTATTTGATGAAAACATTTTTAGATCGTGTATCTTTGAAAATTTTAAACTTTGTTAATATAATTTATTAAAACATGGTTGTGTCTCACTAATTTTTATTCAATCATCAATGCAAATGTGTTATTAACATTTATAAATTATATAATTATAATCGATTTTATTGATGATTGACTGGTTTAGATTAAACATTACTTTACAATTTACATCACACATAAGTCATACTCATAATTGATAATGTTCCACGAATAATTTTCTACCATTTAGCAAATTAAACGTCATTTTCTTTTGGCTTTGCTGATTTACGCTTTTTAGTTTTCATAGTTAAATTTTCTTTTCATCACAGTTTTCTAATTCTCCTGATATTTAGCTTCCAGTACCTCGATGCGATTGTGACTTGTGTTATATTATTGACACTGACCTCGCTGATTGGTCACTGGTCAAAAATTCGATAAAAACTGTGAAATTTCGATCATAAAACAAAACACCGGCAAAAATGAAAAAGCTTCAATCCAAAAATTTGCAGCGCGATGCATTACTGGGCCGTAGTGAATTCATTCCCGATCTCATTTTCAAATCCTGGGATTCGGGAATACCGACCGAAATAAATCCCGGGATTCCCGAAAATCGGGAAAAATTTCCCGGATTCCCGAAAATCGGGAATTTACCGAACATTGAACATTGAAAGTTTGTTAAAACAAATGGTGCGAATCCTGGAGTTCGACTACGAGTTTCATAAAAGTGTACTTGAGTTGTAGTGTGTAGGTTTATAATCTACAAGGACGCGCGCCGAGTTGGAATCGTCGACATAATATTTGAAACAAATATTTTACGAGTGTCACCCGTTAATACTTGAGTAGTATAAAGTGTCAATTGCCATTTTGATTAGAATCGTTAAAGATTAGTTCAAAACATTCAGTTTATCCATTCAAATGAAAATGCACATCTTTTGTCAAAAGAACCTCGCAAGAACTTTTACATCGTCACCTGAATTCGCAGTAAACTCGGACATGTAGCTTTGTTTGCAAAAAGTAATAAAGTCTGAATGATCAATTGTGAATCGACGTGTATAAACGAAACCAACTCGCGCGCAGCAAAGCAACCACACTCCACAAAACTAAAAACAAAGTGGTCGGATCAGGCAGCTAGCAGTGCTACTGCTAGATGCGCGCATATATTTTACAACAGTACAACACTAGAGGGTGCACCATAAAAATAAACTTGCTCGGATTTTAAAAATTTTTGTACCATTGTTTTCTAGAGACTGTGAGAATTTTCACAATACCAAATTTGTCATACCTTTTTAGAAAGATCAGTGAGTTTCGCCTAGGTGCCATATTTGATGGTGCGCGGCTTTTGGAGCAAAATTAGCTGTAAAAGTCGCGTAATTTGACCAAATTTGACCAAATTTGTTGATTTTTGTCGTATTATTTGGATATATCTTCAGTTCCTTGATTGACCATTGTTAATGATTTGGCCCGGCGCGCGCTACTTCGTAGCACTTGCCGTCGGGTAGCATTTCGAGAAGAAAGCGGCGCGCGCTACTTCGAAGAAATTTAGACGAGTAACATCCGTCAATTCCTTGAATGAGATCATTCTGAAAATTGGCGACGACCTTCCAATAGGGCTTTCACAACTGTCCGAAAAATTTGTTGGATATCGGAGTTGATATAGTGATCAAAATGGGGCAAAATACGCTGCTTTTAGCTGTAACATAATTTTTGATGGTTGGATATGCTTTAAACTTTTCAGATACTTTCCTTGTAAGTTTATGAGTAAGCTTACCAATTTTTGTTGCAATCAGAGGTCGGGAAGGATACTTAATATCTATTTGTTTGAAGAAAATTGTGCTGGCCGAAATTAGCGCTAAAAAACCATCATACAGTTTACTGGGCCGCGCTCAGCCTGTCATTCCGCCAAATCTTTATTCGTTAATGAACATAATAGCCTGGGGTCCTCAGGTAACATTCAGTCGGCACGCGCGGCTCACTGTCGATGGCGCACTACCTAACAACACGTGCAACGTAACATGAAATATGAAATAAAAGCACGTGTGGCGATGAGTGTTATATCATGATTATTTATTACCCAGCGTTTGAATCGAAGATTCGAGCATTAGCTTGACGGATGTTACTCGTCTAAATTTCTTCGAAGTAGCGCGCGCCGCTTTCTTCTCGAAATGGCCCGATGGCAAGTGCTACGAAGTAGCGCGCGCCGGGCCAAATCATTAACAATGGTCAAAGCATTAGCAAACTAATCTAGGCGCTAAAATTATTAAAATTACATTGCATAAGGTTTCCCAAAATTCGGGATTGACTTCACTACTGGGCCGCGCCGCGCATCTAATAAGGGGCCATTTAGTATCTACTTATAGGTAGTTTGCTAAATAGGGGGAGGGGATGGTTTTGGAATTTCGGACAACTCTGGTCAGGGGAGGGGTGGTTTCTAAAAATCTGGACGTCCGGAAATTTTGGCAAAATTAACAACAAAAAAAGGTGCGTGACACAAAAAATGTGAACTTGATCATGTGACTCGCGAGGACAAACGTCCTGTTGAAAATTGATCACCTCTAGCGAGCCCGGCAAGTGGTAAGGTTTTTTGTTTGGCTAAAATTTTGTTTGGCTGAAATTTTGTTCGGCTTAAATTTTGCTTGGCTGACCTGATTACATGTAATGAATAAAGTAAAGTAAAGTGATCAGAAAAGCTAAAACTCTCGTTCTAACACAAGGGCGGTCGTACATACATACATACATACATGATACATACAGACAGAAATAATCTTTCGAATTATACATTACTAGAAAAGCTGTGGTCACTGGGAGGAAGGCCAAGGTAATAGTATTCTTGGATAGAAATGTTTTTATCGCATAAAAAAATATCCATCCCAACTGAGGATACAGCCGATTTAAATATAAAACACTTTAAACACAACGTAATTACCACACAACTGAACAAAATGCTGTTCCAACAATCATTGTAGGTGTGCATTCCAACACCGTTGCTATGCAACCTTTGATTTTCACCTAACTTCTTATTTCTCATCAAATTTGCACGTGGGTGGTGGTACGAAGAGAAAGTTTCGAATCATAATAGAGATAATTATAATGGTATTATTATTATTAAATCTAAAATAGCTAATAATTTAATCAATTATTAACAGGCCCCTTGTGGGCAATAACATACGCTTTATAAATTATATAAACAAATTCAAGTCTATTTTCCGATTTTGCTAATTGTCTCTTTAGATCTGTTTCGGTCTTTAGTGGGAGTACCCACATCTGCTGGTTGAGAATGCTCAACATAACATTCATGATGCTTGACTGCTTTATTGACCCGGGCAGGCACCGGGGGCATCCCAACACCAGTGCGTTGGGACATAGTGTTGGTCTGTTTCAGGATGTGTTAGATCCCAGAGAAGCCGCCATCTCCTCTACTGCTTTAGCTCAGCGGCAGCATGAGCCCTGGTTTCCTGCCACATTGGTACCTCTGAAAGTACAGAAAGGTGGTGGATTTCGGGGTCCAGGATCCTCCCTCTTTATTCTTTAAGGTGTTATCATTTCTCAGAGATGTTTGCAGAGTTTTTGTTTTCTAGTCTATTTAGTTGGCTAAGTCCTGGAGAGATTCATTTTGTTCCCAAAGAAATTCGATATTAGAACTTCTTCTAGAGTTCTAGATAGGAATATGAGTCAGTTGGTAGGGGAGCCAGTGAAAACGTGTCAAACAGTATATATACAATAAATTAAATCAAGTGATGCAATTGGCAGAGCACAATCGTAAATCCTGAGCAATAGATATCATCTATCCCTCGTAGCTCTTCTCCTCAGGTATCAGGTTGAAGGAGACATTGGATATAGGGGCAGTCCATGCCTTCTTTGCCTTTCCACGTACACCTCTAACAGCTACTAGCACACTCCTCATTATATCCATGCTCAGGCGTGTCCTGATGTTACACATCACCTGGCTGTAGTCCTCCTTTGTCTTGGTGGCTATCAACACAGCAAGTCTTCTTATGAAACACTTGGCCTCCGGTGCCATTCCTCCTGTAGTGGTAAATACAAGGGGGACGAATGACCCTTTCTCCAATTGTAGCACTCGGTTCATGTACTGGTTCTTTTTCTCATTCTCGTGCAGAGTGTAGAGCTGTGGCATGGTCTTTCCTTGATATGTAGGCGATTTAGGATTGAAAATGCGCACATCAAAGAAAGTCCTCTCAAATGTGCTCCACACTCCTCTTGCTGATATATCAAGCCTAGCCTTATCAGCATTGTTGCCCTTTTGTTGGAAGTTGGCCGATTCTATAGGTGTTAAAAGGGGCTCAATCCTCACATCCTTGGTCACCAGCCTAAGGTATTCAGCAACGGAGTCTCTCACGTTGTTATGACGGTAGTTCACATACCCCCCTCTCTTACAGCTGAGGATATGATTGTGATCATTCTTGGCTCCGCAATCGCAGAATCTTGGGGTGTTAGGGATGTCCCAACCATACCGGAGATGAACAGCATCTCTGAAGTCTTGCTTGCTGTAAGCATACCCTAGCTGTTGAATGGGGAGACATGTTAGCCAAGCTCCTGACCCATGCTCTTGTACCAGCTGCAATGACTCCCTGGTATTCTCATCCACTTCACTCATTATCTCAGCAAGCTCCTTCTTCAAGCGTAATTCTTTAACTAACTTGAGGCAATCTACTCTGCCCTTTATCTTAATTTTATCCAACTTCATCAGGGATGTCTCCTGGTGATAGATAAGGTCAACCAGCTCCTCTGTTATCTTAAGTGACGTCTGGTATTCCTTCTCCGCGATCTCTACTGGATTAACAATACCAAGCCCCCCTAATCTTACAGGTAGCGCAAACATTCTCCTGTGCAGATCAGACACATTCCTACCAATAATTGCAGGGATGAACTTTTCTCTTATACACTTCTCCAATGGGATGAAGAGGTCTTTAGTGTCTTGGATGGTACGCATCACAAAGGTCCACCGATGACATAGGGCTTTGGTATACCCTGATAGGGCTGCCTGAGGTTCATCGAGGGCAATATCTGACAACTCTTCTACATCCTTCACCCATTTCTCTACTTTCTTTTTTACATATGTCTCTCTAGCCTCCTCTCCACCTATCACTGCTCCCAGATGACGCTCCCCATCACATGTGATCTCTATACCAGTCTCTCCAAATAAAAACGTGGCTGCTGGTAGTAGCGATTTTTCTTTTAAGATAAGAATAGTCTTCACTGCTTTAGGGAAGTAGCCTAACTTAGGACCGTTTACACTGAGTAAATCCCACCACAGCCGGAGTTTCTTCAGGGTACCTGCTGCTGCAGAGTCATCTGCATACCACGCTTGCATCAATTCTCCTAACTTTGTCACGCTGGCCAGGATGTTGATAAGAGGACGAATACCGATAGCATACTCTGCCATTGCTGCCACATCCCCTTGCGTTGCCCCTTCATCAGAGTAAATTATCTCACACGAATATGTGTCGTTGACAATGAGTTTGGCTGATTTCTGATAGGTGTTTTTCAGGTATTGGTGAAACGGAGGACATAGCTGCCTAATGTTGTGAATAGCTGCTTTGCGATTAAGCCTGTTAAACGCAATATCAGCATCAACAAGAAGCACTGCCTCTGTCTTAGGATCTTCCCATGTCCTCTTAACTGCTCTGATGGATGCCTCAATGCCTGACTCTAGCCCAGCACATGACTGAAGAGGTCCTGCAGCCTCTTGTATATCATCCTTAATTACCCCAATAACCACCTTGCCAACAATACGCCGAAGAACCTCTCCTACCCCCACCGGCCGTACACCAGGATTACCTCTCTTATCGTCACCCTTATTCAGTGGTACCAGTCTACAGGCCACAAACTCATTCAGACTCTCTGGGTTAACATCCTCTACACACAAACGCTTTGCAAATTCAGCTATTGCACCGCAGAGTTGAAAAGGAAGTTTCCCATACGCTTTAGAGCACAAGATGTGCTTCCACCCATCTGCATCCAAATGGGTTGGGCCACCTGAGCCCTCAACTAGCTCTGCCGATATTTCAGCAAATATCACCGACTGTGCCTGAGGCGCTGTTATAGGTAGAAGGATATCAGCTGGAGGTGTCTCAGCTTTAGGATGTTTCTCTTGTAATAGACTCTTTATCTTTCTATTTAATGTGTGTACCCCAACAACTGAGTCTTCGTTGTTGATGAGCTTCATGGCCTGACATACTTTACCCACCATCATTAACCTACTAAAGCCTTTCATTTTTGATGGATCTTCAGACTTTTTCCTTCGTTTTAGCTTCTCCTGGATGACACGAGCCTCATCCATGAGGGAATTGAGGTCGCCATCCTTCCACTTTTCTAGTCTATCTACCAGGTACTTGGCATTGTCTCTAGCTTTTGACTTAGATGAAGGCTTCTGTAACATAATAGGGATAAATATATGGACTAGCTGCAATGAAAGACTCTCCCAGGCCGTTTTATTCACAAACAGGTACAAAAGTCGTGTCAACTCTTTGATAAACTTCTCCCCACTCTTACCCCTTGGCACCATAAACAAATTCCTACACCACGTAATAATTTCATCATATATCCCCGTAAGTTCTGACCGTATACACCCTTCCCCAGCCATGGTACCCCACATCAGATTATTTGATCTATTCAACTGGCAGCAGTCACAGTACCATTCATCATCTTCACTGATTTTATGATCCTCATACTCTTCATCACTCATACACAAGCAGGCCTTATGAATCCAAACCTCGCACTCCTCACACTGCAAAGCATCTACATGCCATTCAACTCTGGTTTTACATATAGGACATATGTCATCTATCTTCTCCTTCTCCTTTGGTCTACATTTTTTCTTCTTATCAACTCTTGTTTTATGATTGATGTTTACTTCTAGGACTTGAGGTCTATTTAACAAGGGTTTCTCTGTTCTGATGTGGCGCCGAAAGTCATATCTCGAAGAAGATGATTGAAGTTTGATAGAATTGGTTGAGTTTAATACTTTCTGATTATACACAGGTTCGTTAGTACTTTCTTCTTCAGCTTGTCCGTTGGTCTCTACATGTTCTGTACTGGCTGGGGCACTATCAGTGTGCCCCGTTTGCCCGTCCTTGTTTGCCATCCCTGAACTCAATAAATGTAATAGATTTGTAGTGTTGTAATTAGTTTAATTTAGAGTCAGTTGGTAAGATAGCTTTACGAAATTGTGTACGATTCCTTTTAAATTCTGATGATACTTTTGTATTTCAGGGCAGCTAACAACAATAGTATAATACTAAATATTTGTATTCCATCTTTAGTTCATTATAGTTTTGTAATTTATTTAATTATACTAACAATATTTCTTAATTATAGGTACAGTATAATGAAAGCTTCTGTACTGGATCGATACAAAACAGCATGTGCCACAATGGGAATAGCTCAAAATTCATTCATTTGCAAGGGATTGGAGAAGCCGATTCTTCATGTAAGGGTTGGCAAAATTCAGCCAGAAGAATGGACACCTATCATTAAATGTTTGGAGAACAATTCATCTATCACAGAGGTTATTATAGAAGCCACAGTTCCCACCCACTGTGCATATGTGAAAAGATCAACAACTCCCTCGTTTACTTTGACGGTGAAAAACCAATTCATGAAAAGTCTTTCAAGCTGTCTAGTGTGCTCTTCTGCAATTCATAGGCTATCCATCATTAGTGTACCCTTGAAGAAAACTCAGTTAGAACATTTATCACGGGGTTTGTCAAGAAACCAGTCCTTGGAGTTTCTTTGTCTGAAAGGATCTGTCATAGGACAGAAAGCGTTCAACGAAATATTTGCCACAGTAAGAACGTCGTTGAATATAACCCATCTCGACTTTTCTTACTGCAAATTGTCAGATGAATCGTGTTCCCACATAGGAGCTTTACTTAGGTCTCAAACCTTGGAAAGACACACACAAACATGGAAACACACTTTGCGCTACAATAATCCAGATGCAGCAAATGTGACAGGTTTAAAGCGAATCACATTGAATGGCAATCCAATTGGTGATGAGGGTTGTGAAGTTATAACAGATGCTATGCAAGATGATTATTGGATCAGGGCTCTTGATCTTCAACAGTGTGATATAACGGATGAAGGTGCAAAGCTGTTTTTAATATTGCTGGAGGATAATGCTTGTATATCAGTTTTGGATTTAAGGATGAATCCACAAATCAAAGATGGTAAGTTGTTAGAAAAGATCAATGATTGTTTGGGTCGAAACAAACAAAATGATGCAGAATGTTTTGCTGTTGGGGAATTACAGGAAACTAAAAAGGCTCCAAAACCAAAGAAAACTCCCAGGCGAAGCATCTCAAATATCAATCTTAGAAACTCACTGAATGAAGCTAGAACTCCCAAAAAGGCAAACGAATCTAAAGCCCCTAAGAAGGTGACTCAATATGAGAATTATTACAATTCTATGCTTAAAAATTCAGTTGTTAAGAACATTGAACATTTGAATGACATATCTTTACACAATGACAAAGACAAGTTTTCCCCTATTCTGATTCACCAGACCCCTCCAGTAAAGCAGGCTGTTGCATCTAAACAACAAGAGGAAAAGCAGATTTTTGCCATGCTTGATGAATTAAAAAATGACTTGGAAATATACAAAAAAGAATTATATCTTGAGAAGGAGAAGACCAAAGTCTTGCAAAGTCAAGTTAATGCCCTTGAAAGAGAGAACTTGTTCCTTAAAAACCAACAACAGATTGATAAAAGTGAACTAGAACCAGAGCTCTTGGATACTATTGAAACATCCTTCAGTCAGTTTCACAATTTTCTCGATATGCTCAAACAAGCTGGCTATGGGGACCTTTGTCAACTTGTAAACAAATAGATCTCTTTTTTTGGGAATTTTATTGCTGATAATAAGTTTTCTGATTCATCATGTAACTGACTCTGTATTAGCTTTAAAAGTAATTATTGTGCTGTCAGTAGTTTAGTGTTAAAGTACATTATAGTAACTCCAGTGAATTTGTGGGTAACGCATGATACTTAGTTATTTTTACTCTGTTATTTATTGTTTAAACATTTGGGTGACATTACATTTACGTTTTATCCTAATCCCAGTGACAAACGTTTTGAACGAGATGACCACTATACGACACTGTTGCTGGGATCTTTAATTTGTGAACTGTTTGTTGTATTGTAAATTGTTATATTGATAATAAAGTTTTATTGCATGATACTATGATACACGTCGTACTCATATCCTTTTATTTTCTTATGATTAAAATTATTCCACAACGATCTTAGAAAGTGAGCTTATGACCTTGGATTATGTTCGAAATATCCCGTACCTTTAACTTTGTGATAATATGTTAGATGATATTTTAGTTGATATTTTTTATCCCTAATAAAAACCTCTTGGTCAGAGCATTCTCTAGGGTCGCAATGTAATGTCTGTGTTTGTGGAGGAACGTCTCAGATGGTTGGAAGGAAAGTTATCATTATCTCTACCTGTCAAGACAGAACAGATAAAGACGCTGTTTAGTGATTCTTGCAACAAGTTAGTAGTGTTCAGTAGGTAGTTAGTTTAAAGTTAGTAGACACAATTCAGTAGACACAAGTTAGTAGACACAAATTAGTAAACTTCTCTGTTTAATTTGGTATACTTCACTCATTTAGATGGTAAATAAAGCAGAAAAAACGGCGTGGTTCTATTGATCATGAATCGTTAAAATTGTAATAAATTACACTAGTTACATAATTGGGGTATTTGACAATTAGCTGATTGAACTCGTTTCAGGGATACACTACTTGACTTTTTAAACAATGAAGACATCAGAAGACTCTTTGTGGGTGTGGAGGGTTCAGTGGTCAACATCTCGCTCACCCACCCTCCTTCCTCACAAAAATGCCTCGTCTTTCTCAAGGGGGGACACATCGGCAAAGTCAGAAAAGATGCAATAGAAGAAAGTATCACGTTGTTTGACTTGTCCAAGAATTCGGTGGAACAGATAGAAGGTATGATGGATAGTGTGTTCGTGCCACTGATCCTCACAGAGGACTCTCATCGTGGGGAGAAGATGATGGAGAACTTGCACAAACTTGCTTCTATCCTTCAGATCACTGCTGGAAACGAACGGGTATATTACGACCTATGAAAAACTACATTTTATAATGATTGTTTGACGATTCAATTTGGAAGAGCAAGCAACAATGTATTCCGCTTATTTAAAGAAATATCATTTATAATGCATATTTCCATTTTCCATGTTAGAATTGACAATAATGACATGTTCAAGTTAAAGGTTTCTACAGTTTTCTTATCTTACTAAGTATACATACATCCTTTTTATTAAACCTGCACTTTCAGGGAGATGTAGTGTTACCAGTACCCCTACTAGACGTACTACTAGAATCAGCAGTTGTCAACAACAGCGTCATTGTCATCTTGGAGACAACCGTCATCTCCTGGACCAAGCAGATCAGAATTGCTCTCAAACTTGATCTCGACAAAGCTCTTAGAGCTCAAAAAGTTGTAGGACCTTTGGCTGAGCTCAAAGTAAGCTACTATATCTAGTTGAATGGGCGGATTCTATTTTAGGTTATCAAAATGTTGCATTACAACTCCATCAAGTAACAAGAGTCTTCATGCACTAATAATATTTTGGATTTTTAACAGCTATTGCACATTGAAACTAATTTCTTAACTAGTAAACTGATTTACTTTATCACCTGCAATGCGGGTTCCGCATCTTATTACACAGGAACACTTAAAATTATTTGTTTTATAGAAGAGTTGAACGTACTCTTAAAAAAATAATTTCACTAAGTAATAAACCTTCCAAGGTCTGGGAGGAAAGACAAAGCAAGTTGAACTCGATCCTTGAACAACTTGACTGTCGGCTAGCCACTCAGATTCTGAAGGAGCTGGCTAACCTGGGAAATGTTTACGCTAAGTCGTTTACCGTTGTTATCGACGATATAAAGCAGGTAAGCCTTTCTGCTTTCTACTATTTTATTTTCAGCTCAAAAGTTATATTGATAGATTATTAACCGTACAATTTGATATTTCAGTTTCTCATTCAGGCTCATCTTGTATATTAGCTAGTGTTCGTAGCAAAATCTCAATATGTTATGTTTTATGCTGAGCATGAACATACGAACTTACAAACATACAAACCAGGCACTAACCGAAACAGAAGACAATATCATGTACCTCAAACCACTGGAGCCGTATCTGAACAAGCTAGCTGTGGTTACTACCACTGATAAATCAATTAATATCATCGCTCCCATCGTTCATCTCCTTGGTTAGTATTGTCATATTTTGAATATCAGGTATTTTTATGTTTAATTAACTCAATTCAAGAAGCTTCAATTTTTGCAAGAAAGTTTTCATTCGCTATAGAATCAGAAAATTAGACTACTTTTCAAAATAATAAAATGTCCAGATTTGCTCTGGAGACACATACTGTACTTTTCAAAGTAACAAAATGTCCAGATTTGATCGTACTTTTCAAAATAATAAAATCTCCAGATTTGATCTGGAGACACAGCAGATACTACCACGAACCACGAAACTTTAAGCGGCTGTTACGTCACCTGTCTACTTTGGTTGTGAGCAGCGCTCATCGCTTCGTGGGGGCTCAGATTCTCAGCAGCACCGAGAAAGCGTTCACAAACTTAAAACATGCTCTGAAACTCTGCGCTAAATTCAGAGGTTGGTTGTTCAACTTTGAGTGGATATTTTATATTTATTTAAAGTTGTTGCTTGTATTGTACATTATCTAAGGACACAAGCTGCCTGCATGAAAGGTTCATTGTTTCGATAGCATATTAACTTAAAATGTATTAATATTTCTAGCGATAAGAGTTTAATCATTGTTGAATTGTTTTCAGTACAACTTTCGGTAAAAGTTTCAAATTAAAGTTCAAGCTAAATACTTAGCATCTTACTTTAGGCTCTGAATTAGTATTTTCACACTTTAACGCATTTTTTGCACATGTAGTACATCATACATGTCAAATAAATCGAAGACTCTATTGCACAGGTTGTTATCTTGACAAGCGGGAGAAGTGTAACGAACACAACAAACAACAAGTCAGTCAGTACAACGAAAACAAGAAAAGTGAAAATGGAATTAAGATGGTTACTGGACCCTTCATAACCATGCACATGAAGAGACACCATGGTTTAATTCTTTGTACAGTACTTTGTACAGTACTTTGTACAGTACTTTGTACAGTTCTTTGTACAGTACTTTGTACAGTTCTTTGTACAGTTCTTTGCACAGTTCTTTGTACAGTTCTTTGTACAGTTCTTTGTACAGTTCTTTGTACAGTTCTTTGTACAGTTCTTTGTACAGTTCTTTGTACAGTTCTTTGTACAGTTCTTTGTACAGTTCTTTATAACCTCTAGAACAGTTCTGGAAAACCAGACTATTTACATTTTGCACAACCTATTTCCAAGCTATCTTGAGCACATCCCCCGCCCCCCAGGTATGTTTACTGTAAATAACCTCTCTCTCTCTCCCCAGGTATGTTTAGTGTAAGCAACCAGGATGCAGAAGAGAAAGATCCCGATATGTGGACCAACTCTTCGTGGCCAGCCCGCAACGCTCCTCCTTTCTCGATCCTGAACAGCTTCATGGAGAGAGCTAACGATGTGTTGGACCTGGTCCAGACCGCGCAGCACTTCAAGAATCTGGAGAGTGTTGCAGAGATAGGGGGTGTCGGAACAAGAGTCTTGGTGGGTACTGGGTTTTTTAACCTCACTTCATTCTTGATGATAACCATTATGTCTATCATGTCATAAACCTTACTTTATCGAACTCTAATACAACTTTTTGATGTTATTGACCCAATTATGATAATCGTGCTAGATAAAGAAGTAAAAAACGTTTTTTGATGAAAGACATTATGTAAATAACACACCCTGGTCCCCAACAGATACCATTGTGACGGAGATACACGGGAGGTTCGACTCAGCAATGAAGAGTTTCATGACACTGACAGAACAGAACGTGCTGGATGTCAGCAAGCAGGACGAGCTCTTCGAACAGGAGTTCTTCGAGTTCCGAGCTCTTGTCCGGGACTTGGAGAACCAGATGGCTCACGTTATGAGGATATGTTTTGATAGGTGTGCTAACACTTCAGCTCACATCAGACTCTTAGAGGTTAGTTGCGAGTTATTTACCAGCTTAATTAATCACCAGGGTAAAAGATAGAGAAATGTGCGATTCCGCAATTTTTATTTTTATTGCAGCCGTATGTTTCAACTGACTAGCTTGCAAATTATGTTCTCTTGGTCATTTTTGATAAAGCTTTGTTGACCACTGTGCTACTTATGTATGATATCCATACATAAATACTTCAAAGAAAACGTTAACTCAGAAAAGGGCACATAGCCAGTCAAAACCATGATTATGTTTATGACTGGCTTTGTGGCCTTTTCTGAATTTGCCTTTGAAGTTTAACAAACATCAAATGAATGGAAAAGTTCATGTTTTATTGTTTCTGTGTTCCGAGACGATTACAAACTACACTGTAGCTGTTTGTTTCTATTTTTACCGCACACAAGCAAAGTTTTAATACATTATGCGAACAATCCAGCATTGAGCGGCGAGTTTCTGCAAAGAGTGGAGTGACACTGCAACGTGCATGTGTCTGATAGTGCAATCGTGCATAATCCTATGATCTGCCAATATAATTATAATATGCTGAATCAATGCAGCTATTAGTATTATACAATTTGAAGCTATGATACGGCGGCTTAGCGGTGTTATTGCCTGTACTTGACAGCTAAAAGCTTCTGTAAAATTAAAATTTTCAGATTAAAGAAGAAATTATAATATCAAACCTTGGGCCTGGTTAAAGTAAAGCATGCAATATAATGTAGTGGTTGCTATGTAGTGGTTGCTATGTAGTGGTTGCTGGTAAAAAGAGGAACAAATAAATTCCATTATTAATGGATAGTGGGGATATTATCCTCGTCTTATCGATTGTATTCAGGTATTTGCTGGGGTTAGTGGCAGGGAGAGCGTGCAGCGTGCCTTATCAGACAAACTCTCCAAAATTGTATCAGGTAATAATATCATCCTATTTTAATCATGATTAACATTTTCGTTTAAAATATGATTACACAAGTGAGGTAATCCAAATTATAGTTCTCGAAAAAGACACGTCGATTCCTCCCAAAAGGTAATATAAACCGGACATGTTACCAGGTATGATGGACGAGGTGTTGGATGTTAAGGATATGTTAGACCGGAACATCTCAGCTCCAAACCACAAGAACATGCCAGACACAGCGTCCCATATGTGCTGGTTACGGGCACTTAGAGAGAGGATTGTTAAACCTATGGAGAAGCTGAGGGGTACTATACCTGAACTTCTGAGTAATAATGAGGTGAGTTGCACCGAAAACAAGTCTGGTTAAATGGGTTTTAGATTTGATTTTGAATCAAATAAAACTGTCCAAATAAATCAAATAAAACTGATTTTGAGGTTTGCCTGGCCTTTGCCTGGTCATTCTTGTTCAATCCTCAGCTGAACAGTCTAACTCTAATACTAATGGACAGTGGTGTCTCACGCACTGCAGCATACCATGTGAATAGCTTAGAATAGCAGTGAATATTGCACTGCATGACACATTCCATCCCCTGCACTTCAAATATACTAATTTCACGCGTTCTTACACTCCACTTTCCGTCAAATCAGCTAATATTAGATCGTGCACTGTCTGTATTGGGTCACGTGAGAGTCACGTGTTTCTTATAATATATGTGAATATAATATGTGAGCATTATATGTGGATTGAATATATATGTGGACCAGCTTCTGTAAAAAGTATATGGCTGAGATGTGTGGAAAAAGTAAGGCTGTGAATGGTGGCCTCTATAATATTGGAGCTCCTCACGGCGACATATTTACTGTAGTGAATGAATGGGCTAGTCCAGGGCAACTGCGAAAATTACTGATTGTGCTTGAACAGGTTGCATTAGATTATCGATTAAAATTATCGTAAGTGCGATTTCGCGTGCAACTTATAGAGGCGAGCGCCCTAAAAGTATTCATCGTGTTATATTTTTCTTGCAATCCATGAAATGATAATCTATGCTATCTGCTTATCAATTATAGTTGACGGGGTCAAGATCACATTTATTGGTTATCTGTGGCAATGAAAATCACGTAAAGCATTAGAAGAAGCGCGTGATTTTAACTATAGGTAGTATTAAGACTATGGCATACCTCTTGATCTGCACACTTGTTACAATATATCACCGTTTTATTATGTACTTGTTCACCGTTTTGATTCACTTTTTCACCGTTTTTTCACACAGTGTAACACCACCTCATACTTCACAGTTTTGGTTCGTTGACGAAGATTCTGTTTACTCGAACAGTTCAATACTAAAAGCAGCATTATACTCCAGCAGCACCATGGATCACCCACCTGTAATGCACCTTCATACTTCCATATCGTTACCTAGATTATCAGTTATTTTTAATTACTGAAGTTGTACTTTCATCTCATTTCAATCATTATCATATAACTATTATGTAATTAAATAATGTATTTAAATACGATTTTAAACAATTCACGGGTCAGACTGGACATGAAATTGTTTCGATAAAAAGCGATAGATCACCAAAATTAGGACTAGTCAGTAGTCAAGAGTTTCAACAAAACTCATTAAAACATGATGTGACAGGGCTGGAAGCTGCGTGTACAATACGACACAGTTCTAGCTGACATCGACGAGGCGTTGTCCAGACTGGAGCATGTCTGGAGGAAGGATATCAAGACAGAGCTCACTTCTAAACTTACCCAGAACTTGTACGTCAACATTGGAGATGGACCCTTGATCAAGGTAGGAGTTAAGTTAGTTTTCTTATTTGGAACATGTTGAAAGTTCAACTGTAATAAGGTGGCCTCTTTTTTAAGATGTAGGGAGGCTTGATTGATTTGATTCACTATCTTTTACTGTTGTTTTACTTTTAAGGATTTGTTCATCTTGATGACAAACTAACCAGGTCAATCTGGATCACTCGTTGCTGCTGGTACTGAAGGAGGTACAGTTCATATCAGATCCTGACAAGATTCCTGTCACTGTGCAAGCTCTTCTTGACCAAGTGGGTACCATAATTTCTAATGTTTTATAATTGAATCCACCGGGGAAAATTCCGAAATGATATTCCTGCCGGAATCGACCGGATATCCGGCTGATACCGGATTAGCCCAGATAATGGACGATTTTAATCCGTTATCGTTTTTTAATAAACACCAGAAATTAGCTGACGGATATCAAAATTAAAAGAATTGTAAAAAATATGCTGCTATTTTGGTTTTTTATAATGGTTCATTTATTGACTCTTTATTATTGATAATATCAAACGGCCAAAAAGAGTATCAATAGGCCAAAATAATATCAAATGGCCAATAAATGTACTGCTAATGGACGGAATTCAAACTAATCAGCCTACCCCGGGGCTTGTTATGAGATTATCCTGAACTTGCTTAATCTTTTACATTCCGTAACTTGCTTGATCAAAATGTCATCAAAACATCATAGATAATGGAACCACCACATATATACATGTAACGCGTTATTAATTCTATCACGAAACGTCAGTTCCATATTAGCAACAGTGCCGTGTATTTTCTAAGCTGTTGAGAAGGATATCTAATCTCTAATGACAGTGCTGAGTTACCAATCACATTCCTGACCATCCTCATTTGTATTGTCAAGTTCATTCCTTGTTCGATATCAAATTATCTCATACGGGAGGAAGTATATTAAATCAGGGTATTTTTGCTATTGTGTTTAGATGACTCCTCGAGGTAGCCTCACCACTCTTAAATCAGGGCATTTCTCAATCTACTCAACTAAATATTAGGGAAGTTGGTCGTTTAGCTCCGGACAGTCTATGCAACGTCTATGCAACGTCCGTGCAACAACAAAAGAACCGTCTATGCAACGTCTATGCAACGTCCCTGCACAATGAACACTCTATGCACACTCCCTGCACGGTCAGTCTATGCAACGTCTATGCAACGTCTATGCAACGTCCCTGCACAGTACCATATGAACACCGGCTACTAGCCGGCTACTAGCCGGCTAGTAGCCACTTTTGTAATAACAGCTCCTCAACTTCACATTAACAACCGGCTACTAACCGGCACTTGAAAAGTGGTCACTAGCCGGCTACTAACCGGCTACTAGCCGGCTAGTGACCACAAAGTGGCTACTAACCGGCTACTAAGCGGTCACTAGCCGGCTATTAGCCGAGCTCTAAAGCAGACCTATTAGTAGCCGGTTCTAAACCGGCTAGTGACCGGTTAGTAGCCGGTTAGTAGCCACTTGGTGGTTACTAGCCGGTTAGTAGCCGGTTAGTAGCCGGCTAGTGACCGCTTTCTAAGTGCCGGCTAGTAGCCGGTTTGGAACCGGCTACTAGTAGGTCTGCTTTAGAGCTCGGCTAATAGCCGGCTAGTGACCGCTTAGTAGCCGGTTAGTAGCCACTTTGTGGTCACTAGCCGGCTAGTAGCCGGTTAGTAGCCGGCTAGTGACCACTTTTCAAGTGCCGGTTAGTAGCCGGTTGGTAATGTGAAGTTGAGGAGCTGTTATTACAAAAGTGGCTACTAGCCGGCTAGTAGCCGGCTAGTAGCCGGCTAGTAGCCGGTGTTCATATGGTACTGTGCAGGGACGTTGCATAGACGTTGCATAGACGTTGCATAGACGTTGCATAGACTGACCGTGCAGGGAGTGTGCATAGAGTGTTCATTGTGCAGGGACGTTGCATAGACGTTGCATAGACGGTTCTTTTGTTGTTGCATGGACGTTGCATAGACGTTGCATAGACTGTCCGGAGCTAAACGACCAATGCAAGTTGCCAAATATTATTATCGGATCAAACCGGTGGGACATGTCGTATGACATCGGTTTGACGTATGACACAGGTTTGTCCTATGATCTGACTATTATCTCACTAATCATCCCCTCCTGACCTCGTGACTCTGCTAGCTACCATCACGTGACTATGAGATAGTAACTGTATCTCCTCATCATGATACTGGATCATAAACCCAAATCTACGATAGAGTAGCATCAAATGGTTTGTACGGAGTACCGTGCCAAATTCGAACGAACAGCGAGTTTAATCTCATAGGCTCGAACAGTAAAATAAGCAAGTGTGATTAGGACAATAATCGGGTTGATTCCGGTTCTAAAATTGATATCCGGTCTGGTTGAAAAAATCTGATACTAATAAAGTACTAGAATTGATATCTTATAATGTTATAGAAATTGCCTAATATTTCGACATGTATCTTTTACCTAAATTCAAACTTTGACTATTGTCTGATATGATCAGTTTCGTAAAAGTACATACAATAATTCAGGTGGATACGAACACTCTGAAAGTGACAGCAGCCAGACTGGAAACCATCGCCACTCACTACAACAAACTCCGCAGTAGGATCAGACCCCACGAGGAGCAACTCTTTACTGCTAAGATAGCTCAGATTGAGACTTTGTTGAGACAAGGTATTTGCTAAGATAGCTCAGATTGAGACTTTGTTGAGACAAGGTATTTACTGCTAAGATAGCTCAGATTGAGACTTTGTTGAGACAAGGTATTTACTGCTAAGATAGCTCAGATTGAGACTTTGTTGAGACAAGGTATTTACTGCTTAGATAGCTCAGATTGAGACTTTGTTGAGACAGGGTATTTGCTAAGATAGCTCAGATTGAGACTTTGTTGAGACAAGGTATTTGCTAAGATAGCTCTGATTAAGACTTTGTTGAGACAGGGTATTTGCTAAGATAACTCAGATTGAGACTTTATTGCTCCCTAACCTAATCTACAGTTGAATCGAACTAGTCTTAGTTTGTTCTTATAGTTGAGTGTTTGTATTTTAACATAGGCTTTTTCAGGAAAAGAATCTCTAACGTGGAAGAGTCTAGAAACAGATGATTTTATCGAGGAAGCAACATCCCTGCTGTTGGAGGACTGCTTCAAGAAGTTACAGGCAGTCCAAGCAGCACAGAGTCAGATAGAAGCTAAGGTGGCACACTGGCATGGGTACTTGTGTCAGAGCCTCTTTACCAGTGACCAGTCCTGCTTTATTGAGGATTGGATCGTAAAACAGAAAGAGGTTTGTGGAATTTAGATTTTACTTGCCTTCATGCCTCGTTCAGTTTAATGTCAGAGGGTTGGAGTAACGATCTTTAGGAATCTATATTTCTATTTATTCACCCTTCGAACTCATTATCTACCTGCCTAATATTTTTATCGGAAGCTAAACATAACGATCATTTAATTCCCTGGTACGTTGAATGATAAGCAGTTTTTAACAGATGTTAATGATGGTCAGGTATCAGAAGGATATGCAGTGTTAGCCAACATGTACGGAAGTAAGATTAGCAGTGTGGTGAAGGAGGTCCACAAGTTGCTGCAGGTGTCCGAGAACAGTCCAGCTTGGCAGAGTTACACTGCTTTCCTTGATAATCTTATCAGCACAGGTAATATAATGTGTGACAGCGTAACACTTTAATAATCGGTGACATTTTCAAACTATGTGACACTTGCATTGGCAAGGCTATGCTGCATTCTACCACTCTGTAATACCTTAGAGATAATCTACAATGTGTAACATCATCTCTCTACAGTCTGTAACTGTGTGACACTGTAACACTGTAACACTGTGTACTGTCACACTGTAACACTTAATTTAAAGTAAATGTTACACACCCCTGGGCCCTGAACCCCACCTTGTCCAGGTCTGGTAGCAGCAATGAGGGACGCTCTGACACAGCTCTACAACCTGATAGCACTGACTGACCCAGAGGATAAACCTAAGATACTGGTCAGAGTGGAGCTAGTGGGGGGTATGGTACAGTATCATCCTCCCATTGATAAGGAGTCTGCTGATATCAGTGTCCAGGCAAGTTGGGTCGTACTTGCTATTTTGTTGTTCTGTTCATTTTTTGTAGCATTTATTGATTATTCGTAATTATATATTATGGCAATTGCATGATTCCATCACAATACTTTTACTGACATAATTCAAAATGTTCAGGAGATGGTGTTTAACTGGGTAACCCAGATGGTAGATTACTGCGAGCTGATACCACGTCTGGTTCCAGACTGTGAGTCATACGCCAAGGTTATCGAGCAGACCCCAGAGATTGTGGACCTCATTAATAGTATCAGGGGTGTCATGGACGATAACCACCAATCCTGCCAGCTACTTCAGGATAATTTCATGAGGTACGAATTTGTTCTTAAATTATATTATATCAATTGAGATTGAATTGAGAGTTTTTGTTAATTTAATTTTTGTTCATAATGAGTCGGAATTATTCTCTCTCTGACGACGGGGATCCTTTGAAGATTACTCTGAATGACTCATGAGTATAAGTCGCTGCAATCAATCGTCTGATGTTAATGAACCAGAGAAGTTTTTCCAATCAATGGCAGCTTGGACAGTTGGAAGCAATTTCAGAACTACGAAATTCGGGAAACAAATTTGTGAATATGTTTGAGCCCCGTTCGACCACGGTCAGTTTATAATAATAAATAAAACAGACTATTTTGTATAACTATGTAAAGGAATCCTGGAACAACAACTTCAGTAATATTAATGATTTAAAACATCTCGAAATCTCACTAGCACGTGATACAGATATCACAAAAAAATCACAACTTTAAAAACATTTTAACATTCAAGTCTGGCCCTAAGATCGCCATCGACAGATTACCGAGTTGCGTTACCATGGTTACCATAGTTACCATGGTTACTAATAGAATTGCTGTATAAAAGCTACAAAATAGATAAAATTGCCCGGTAGCCTGGAAATAAAAGTTTCTTAGCTTTTGTGTCACAAGGTTGGATATTTTCAAGTTATGTTGTCGTTTTGTGAGAAATATCATTGTAAAATTTATTTTTCTTGTCCATGGATTGAAGATTCGTGTTTTAACCGCCGTAAACAATGTTGGTAGTTTTAGTATCTGCGTTGATGAAGGCTATCATGGAGCAACAGGAAGTCGAGAGTTAGAGAAAGCTTCAATGTTAGAAGGAGTTCAGTTGGGACCGTTGAGTACTATTAATGCAACGTCCAGCTCGTTATACAGCACCTGCGGGTATTTGTGTTAAAAGTTTAATAGATTGGGAGTAGGATCATTGATGTTAAATTACATATTGTTTGTTAAAGATTTAAGATTGATATAAAACTAAATCGAAGGGATTTATGCTTACCAGTGAGTGTTGCTGCGGAACTACGGGACTATGTGGGTTGGATTATTTGTCCTTCTGTTCAGCTTCAGTACTTATCAGTTGCTGTTCTTTTCAGTCTGAAGATGTTTCATGTTAGTGACTTTATGTCGTGATCTTTAATTTCATAGCTATTGACAAGGAACAAGATTTTAGAATGTTAATCAGTCTAGTAAAATGTATTTCTAAAGAGAGATGATAGGATAATCTTATCACGTGTTGATCACGTGTCGATCATACTCAGTGTGGGAACTGGGATACTTGTCATCTTTCCTGACTTTGTTCTGTCAGTGATTGTTGATTGGTAACCTCTGGTTCTACGGGAAGGTTGTAGCTAGGTACTAAAATGTGTTAGAGTATTAGAGTGGTAACTTTTTGATAAAATATAATACTTTTGGTTCGTGTGCAGTGTGCACTGTGCATTGAATTTAGGAAGCAACCTGCACAGATACAAATTTTTGTCATGACCAGAAGAGCTTTCCAAAAGGAAATTGAACAATTATAATAATGACATAAATTTTGGAAACATGAAAACGCACGGATCTTTAAAAGAATAAAAATAAATCACTAACGTAAAGAGTATTCAAACATAGGAATATTTTTTTAAACAGTAACAAAATTTAACTAATGTAATGAATAATGATTACAAGATGACGATGTGCACCAAAAATATAAATATAAAATATCCTCATATGCAGGGTGGGCCATAAAACACTACCCATCCTTATCTCTTAAAATTGTTACAGCTCGCTGAGATCTTGATAATTATTTTAAAAACAAAAAGTGGTATAACTTACGTTCTGATAAATATTTTTGCTTCTAAATTTCACAGAATGTTAATAACAAGTAGCTAAACCTTTGTGGCAAGTTTTGTGTGATTGCGAGCTTCACTGAGCTTATTTGACCAATTTAGCCCCTGAGCGAGCTGGCTTGAATTTATCACCCAGAACTGTTTACATTGGTTAATAGGAACCACAAAAAAAATCCTGGGTAACAAAATAAAAAAAACAGCGATTTATTCACGTTTTACCAATTCTATTCGCATGGATCCATCGCACATTCCATTCTCTCTATATTTTAACTGATAAGGACTATCACAGATGATCCTTCCTGCTTGTTTATTTCGTTCTTCTCACATGGAATGTGCGATGTATCATGGTGAATAGAATTGGTAAAACATAAATAAATCGGTGGTTTTTTAATTTTTTTACCCAGGATTTTTTTTGGTGGTTCCTATTAACCAATGTAAACATTTCTGGGTGAGAAATTAAAGCTAGCACGCTCAGGAGCTAAAATTGTCAGACAAGCTCAGACTCACAAAAAACTTGGCACGAAGTTGTGTCTAATTATGATTGACATTCTCTAAAAATTTGAAGCAAAATCGATTATTTAGCTAATCAGTGGTTTAGAGCACAACATAACTTGAGCTTTAGCGTACCTTACTCGGGATTATTACGACGGGTTTATTAACGACCGGTTAAAATATGGTTCGGGAAAAATATGGCGAAATTGCTCAAAACCCACCACATTTTCCCGGTCGCCATTTTACCGGTGTCCAACCTTTCAATTTTAGATTCAAAAATTTTGTCTCAGATGTAAATTTCCTTATTAGAGATAAGCAAGTTTAGAAATTTTCGCATTGCTAAAACTTGTGAAACATCAATAATTGTTGAAAGTAGACAGAAATAATGACTCGTGGTTAATCAAACTAGATGGAAAATAATTTTTAACATTTGAAGCGTAACAACCAGATCGATATTAAGATAAAGGGAGAGCTGTTTAGTCTTCCAATAAGTTGTAATCATCTTCGTTATCTTCATCTGGATCATCCCTTTCATCAGTTTTAATTAATTCAAGTTTTAATATAACTGTTACTTTTACTTTGAGTCCTATTTCATTATGTAGAGATAGGTAGTCAATACCTAAGAAATTAAAAATTGGCCTATTTAAATCAAATTTGACAATAAGGATATTCATATATGACAAGAATTGGGCAAAAAGGTGAATTTTTTGCAATTTTAGCCAAATGAAGTCGAAAAACCTACAACAAGCGTCCCAATAGTCTTCTTTAGTGAATATAAGACAACGATTAAAATATGAGCACCCATACCTCTTGGGAACCCTAAAAGCTGAGTAGGCGGGTTTATTAACGACCGGTGAAAATGTGGTTCGGGAAAAATATGGCGAAATTACCCTAAACCCACCACTTTATCCCGGTCATAATAATCCCGAGTAAGGTATATCGGAATATGAAGATAAACAGAGTTGAACTGTTCAGCTATATTCTATGTAGTTGCAGTCTGGGAGCAGGAGGGATCACTTTTTTGCAGCTCAGAGTTTTCCAAATGTAGTACCTTAGGTTCTTGACTCTTAAGATGTATATAATCGGATTGACTGTACTGTTTAATGGAACTGTAGACACTATTAAGAAGGAGTAAATTTCACGACAATAAGGAATATTCGAGCAAAGCCAAGGTAAAATTACGTATGTTTTACCTTCACTCCAAAAGTAGATAGAACTATCAATTCTTAGGATACAAAAGGGTACATTGAATAAGATGTATGCAACTGTTAGAATTAGTATAGTGATTGTTGCTTTTCTTTTGTTTCTCTTAGCTCGTGCTGCATTCTCATCACCAACTCTTGAAAAGCCCGAATTGCAGTAGGTCGAGTCAGTTGCCAGTTTTACGACTGATATCAAGCAACTGATGATTATTGCAACTAAAGGAAGAGCATAGAATATGGAGTCCAGAAATAAGATTTTGTATAGAAAAGTCTTGGAAAGCATAGAAAATGTCCAGCCGCATATGCCATACTTCAAAAAATATTCGTAGCTTATTCCAACCCACCAAGGGAGAGACTCCCAAATCATAATTATCACCAAATATACGACAACTGGAATGAGAACGTGTCGTTTTGACAGTTTTACGAACGACAACGAAAGAGAAATAGTTCGGCAAATACTCATCAGCCCGATTGAAAATATGGATAGTTTTTCCAGAATATACCACATATACCCCCAAACGCTGCACAGGAAATCTACTGAAATGAAAAATTCTTTTCCACCTGATAATTGAGTCACCGCCATGGGAAGACAAAGCAAGCAGATCAACATATCTACCATATTTATGATCATATACAAAAGATTCACATAGCTGTACTTGTTCTTGTTTTTCGCTAAGAAGTAGGAAAAAGAGAAGATGTTGGCCGGCACACCGAAACAGAAACAGAAAACAGCAGTGGCACCGGACGGCCAGTAAACGAAGGGAGATTCGGTGGTGTAAGATGAGCTAGTTGTGAAATAAATGTCTGTGTTCGAAGTTAAGTCATCCGTCATTCTGGGTCAGGGAGGTCTTTTTTTCGATCTTAGCTAAACAATAATTATTTAAAATTAGTTTTAAATTATAAAAATGTGTGTTATCGTATCTATGCTTTAGCAATTAAGAGGGACCGGTCACACAGAGAATAGAGAGATCCAAATGATGATATTACAAATCTTTGCCTTTTAAAAAGTATGGTTGCCTTATAAAATACGTTTGTATTTTTTTATCGAGTTCGACTAATTAAGAATTTATGATCAATATGGTCCGTTAATCGGTTTAAACTCCAAAGCTCAGCAGCAAAGATAAGAAGTGTCATACAGTAATGATTTAACCACAAAATATGCACTATATAATTTTGTCATTTTCTAACAAACTGTTTGCTTAATAAAGATGCATTCACGAATTCATGGGCATTGTCAAGTGCCAGCTTTTAGTATGCACTTGTATAACAATTGTCGTAATCACATTGCAATATAGTGATACTGTTTAGAACTTATGTATCACTTATCGCATTACTTGGTTACTACTTACTAGTTACAGTAACCAACTAACTCATCCAAAGTTTAGGGGAGAAATATTATTGTATTGTGCAACTTCAGAAAACTAGAAATATTATTTAATTGTTAGAATTCTAAGGTCGACATTGGAACAGTAAACAAAATATAAATGATTCTCACAGAAATAAACCTCGCTGTTCAATTTTAACACGGTACTCCGTACATACCAGTTGATGCTACTCTATCGTAGATTTGGATTCATAATCCAGTATCATGATGAGGAGATACAGTTGATATCATAGTCACGTGATGGTAGCTAGCACGGGACGGGAGAGGATGATTAGTGAGATAACAGTCAGATCATAGGACAAACCTGTGTCCAACCAGTTTGATATGATAATAATTTTTTGTTCAATTGACTGGGAAATATCCTGATTTAAGAGTGGCAGAGAGTGATGTAACTCAGTCGAATATTCTCATTATCCTGACTTAAGAATCAAAGAAATTCCAAAACTTTCTCCCGTACGTTAGAAAATTTGATATTGAATAAGAAGTGAACTTGATAATACAAATGAGGATGTCCAAGAGCGTGGTTAATAATTCAGGAGTGTGATCAATTACTTCTTCAGGTACAGCTATCTCTGGAACCATAACTCAACCATAACCCCTCCTTCAGGTACAGCTATCTCTGGAACCATCACTCAACCATAACCCCTCCTTCAGGTACAGCTATCTCTGGAACCATAACTCAACCATAACCCCTCCTTCAGGTACAGCTATCTCTGGAACCATAACTCAACCATAACCCCTCCTTCAGGTACAGCTATCTCTGGAACCATAACTCAACCATAACCCCTCCTTCAGGTACAGCTATCTCTGGAACCATAACTCAACCATAACCCCTCCTTCAGGTACAGCTATCTCTGGAACCATTACTCAACCATAACCCCTCCTTCAGGTACAGCTATCTCTGGAACCATTACTCAACCATAGCCCCTCCTTCAGGTACAGCTATCTCTGGAACCATTACTCAACCATAACCCCTCCTTCAGGTACAGCTATCTCTGGAACCATTACTAAACCGTAACCCCTCCTTCAGGTACAGCTATCTCTGGAACCATTACTCAACCATAACCCCTCCTTCAGGTACAGCTATCTCTGGAACCATTACTAAACCGTAACCCCTCCTTCAGGTACAGCTATCTCTGGAACCATTACTAAACCGTAACCCCTCCTTCAGGTACAGCTATCTCTGGAACCATTACTCAACCATAACCCCTCCTTCAGGTACAGCTATCTCTGGAACCATTACTCAACCATAACCCCTCCTTCAGGTACAGCTATCTCTGGAACCATTACTCAACCATAACCCCTCCTTCAGGTACAGCTATCTCTGGAAGGACGATGCACACCATACCTTCTCACAGTTCATCAGTGGTAAAAGCCTGCCTCTGTCATCTAGCTCCCACACAGTAAACTCGGAGGATATCAACCCCTCACCCTCCCGCCCAAATTCCATGCTCAGCAGTAGTGTGGTTCTCGGTAACGCTGAAAGGAATTTTCTAGCTCCTTCTGTTTCAACCGGTTTGTTTTCTGTTAAAAAAGAAAAAAAAAGTTGAATTACCGGTATGCATGTAATTTTATTGAATTTTTACCATTATAAATGGCACACTAAATTAAATATCTGTACACCATCCTATGTTCTGAGATTCTAAACTCTACGCTCAAGTTTCCTCAGGAAGCGGTTCCATAGGTCGTGTGCCGACTCTGGACGATTTCGACAAGAAGATATCCGCCTATCAAACTGCTTTCAACACCATCAACTCCAGTCCCGACGAATCAGCCATTGGGTGGCTATTTGTGGACATAAAACCGATAAAACAAGTGCTGCTCACCCACGCTTCTCGCTGGGTGTATGTTTTTACAGAGTATCTGATAAACCAATGCACTAAGATGCTGGGAAGTATTGAGGAGTTTTTGTTGGATACGGAGCCGCAGATCGAAACTCTGATCAAGACACTGAGTGCGTCTCCTACTGATGCAGCTATTGCGCCATCGGCTTATATGAAGCTGGTTGAGCTCTTCAACAAGGTTTTTATCTTACTCCTTATCCGTTATAAATGTCAGTCTTAGTATTTAAGCACAACTGTAATCCTAGGTAAATAACTTTCAAATCAATTAACAATCTTTTGAAATTTAATCCGCCCCATCAGCCAACATATTACACATAACACGTCTTTTGATATCGATGCAAAAATTCTTTAAAAACGCTAACTAAAGCTCATCACTAAAGCTTTTCACTAAAGCTTATCACTAAAGCTTTTCACTAAAGCTTATCACTAAAGCTTATCAATAAAGCTTATCACTAAAGCTTATCACTTAAGCTTATCACTAAAGCTTTTCACTAAAGCTTATCACTAAAGCTTATCACTAAAGCTTTTCACTAAAGCTTTTCACTAAAGCTTATCACTTAAGCTTATCACTAAAGCTTTTCACTAAAGCTTACCACTAAAGCTTTTCACTAAAGCTTATCACTAAAGCTTATCACTAAAGCTTTTCACTAAAGCTTATCACTAAAGCTTTTCACTAAAGCTTATCACTAAAGCTTATCACTAAAGCTTATCACTAAAGCTTATCACTTAAGCTTATCACTAAAGCTTATCACTAAAGCTTATCACTAAAGCTTATCACTAAAGCTTATCACTTAAGCTTATCACTTAAGCTTATCACTAAAGCTTATCACTAAAGCTTATTATTTCAGGTTACCAGCAAACAACAGGAGTTCGACAGCAGGTTTGGGGTGGTTCGCAAGACTGTGGTTCTGTTAAACAAGTACAACTTCAGAATGGAAAAAGAGGAGTTCTTCTTGGCTGCACCCTCTAGGTAATACACTTTAATTCGCTATAAGTTTAGTTGGACATATTTTGGATTTATATCTTTGTATTTTATAATCTTTTCTAAGTTTTCCCACAGACTTTGAAACTTCATTCCGAAATTTCTGTCACATCTTGACTGTTTAGATACTCATCACAGTTGTTTACTTTCTTTCTAAGGTAAACGATGAATGCTAATTTCGCTCATGTGTGTGTGTGCGTATTGTAGTTATAACTTGATAACGACAGGTAGTGTGTACACGGTCCAACTCTGCTAATTACACGGCCCCATGCCTATTGAACAATGGAGAACCTTTTCAAGGTACACCAGGTATCGTAAACAAGCTTCCCTCACATACTGAACATATGTCTAACAGTTCATTTATTCAGGTGGAGTAACCTGCGAGCTAAAGTAGTGCTGGCTAAACAGAGAATAGCCCCCAAAATGCAACTAAGATCCGAGCAAATATCACACGTAAGTTCGGTTATTGGTATGGTAATATTAGTAACTTTAGATTAACAGTAACTGCAACTCTGCAACAAAATATGCATTTGTGGGAACATTAACTGAATTAAGTCGTCCACAAAATTTGATCTCCTAGGATTTGAGGGAATTCGCAAGCCTATGCCAGAAATCTCGCGAAGAATTTGCCGGTTGTGAAGCATTCCTCCGAACTTGCAACTACCAAGATGCTCACGAATTGATCAAGCGGTTCAAAGTCAGAGTAACAGACTTGGAGGACCGGAGCAGAAACCTCGTGGAGCTCCAGGAACTTCTGGAGGCCCATATCGTGGATTTCACCTGTATTTCCGAGTTTAGAAGTGATATTGAGACTTTGGAAAAGGTAAGGGTGCGATTACATGTGGATTAGCTGATAACGTTAATTAGGTTACAGAAATTTTGCCAATGATTTTATTTTAAATTTTTTTACATAAATCCTAAAAATCCAACAGAAACCAGCTAAGCACCTTAATATTTTCTCCAGGTATGGAACACGTCTAAAGGAATGAAAGCACACCACTCGCTATGGCGAAATGGGCAGTGGAAATCACTAAACTTGTCGTCTATATCACATGAGACCGAGTGCCAAATTCTGGAGTTGAAATCGTTACCCGAAAACGCTCATATATGGGATGTGTACTGTGGGCTTATGGAAAACATAAAACAGATCAAGGTCTTTACTCTTGAGTTTTTTAATTGAAATAACATCTTTCTATTCGGCAAGCTACTTTTCATTAGGTAGGACTGTTTGCCTTTTTAAAAAGTCACCCGTTTTCCGAGATTGTATATTTTCCCGTCCAGGCATGTGTACCGCTGATAAAGAGTCTATCTAATTCATCTATGAGACCGCGACACTGGAAAATGTTGGTTAGAACGCTCGGAGCACAACATACTATCATCCCTGATAGATTTCAAGAAGCTTCTTTGAAAGAGCTGATCGATCTTGGCCTTCTTAGTAAGTTAACCATGTTACACTGATCCTATTCATCTTTTTTAAGTACATTGTTGTATAATTAAATAGCCACTGTGATCACTTAAAATTGTACCCTTTCCTGGGTGCATCTGTATTGTGATAACGTTTCTTGCTATGCTTCAGAGCCCTACTTAAATTGGTGACACTTTTCAGATCAGGCCTTTTAACGGTTATCATATCTTAAAATTGGGAACATCTCGGATCGAAACTGAGCCGCGCTGTCAACATAGCGCCAAAACCCCTCAAAATATCGATTTCGTAGCCATGGAAACGGCGTGAAATAAGTGAAAAGCAAATTGATTTTCGCGCAACAGTCTAGTATTCCAAAATGCGCGCAATAAAACAATGCGCATGCATGCAGGAGCTGATAGATAGATATACTGCAGATATCGTTGATAGTGCATGTTTGGGTTTTTTCACCTTATCGCACGTAATGAATAAGCTCGTTATGTTTCATATCTCCGTCATCCGAGAAGCTAGAACTCTCTTTTTTTCGGGTAAATGTAATTTGAATAGCCAAACACAATTTAATACAATTTGGCTCGATCCGAGTATATTATTCAAACTATCAAATAAATTAAAAAATTAACCTTCATTCGAAAAAAATTAACATGAATATTGTATGATTTGATATATTCCTCGAATGAGTGGTGATAGTAAGTCATACCAGAAATAATTACCTCAATCGGGCACTCAGTGACTGAGCTATAAAGACCAACGTCTGTATTCTGTAAACTGAATTTTGCCCCCTACCTGTCCCTGTGCTTTTTAAAGCATGAAAATCGATTGATCAGATCAAAAATTACGACCATTAGAATATTTCTAAAATTACACTACAAGTTTCTATTGCAAATCGCAATCCAGTTGTAACTCCTCAAAATTATTATTGATGATGACTCAAATTGACAACAATCATTCAAATATTGGACGAAAATCAAATTGGGCCCAATTAAGGATGAAGGTGCCCAGTGATGCTAATATCGACTCTTATAAAATTTTGGGAGGTTTCTAAGAGTAACTAGAGTCGGTGTATCTTAAAGTAAGCGGGAGTAAAAGAAGGTTGTGGGATGATGTGGGCTGAAGAGGCCAGGGGTGAGGGGGGCTGAAGTACAATCTGAAGGTACCAAAAGGTAGCTAGAAGTAGCGAGGGAGATTGAGGTTGGCAGTACAGCAAGAGCTAGAGGTTGAGATTTTGTCATTCTTCCTACTTTATAATAGTAGTTATTTTAAAACTCACAATTTAATCCGTGAGAGCTATATTTAAGTTTCATTTTTATTAGCGGGAAAAATCAATCACAATTCTTAACATAACAAGAATTGCGCCCGTTTTTTGTGGTGGCGGACGCTAGATTTCCATTCACTTCAAACACTTACCAATTCACTTCATAATATCATGCTTAAGATCTGAGAAACCATTTGTAATATGTGATTGGAATCAGTCGCCATAAAATCAAGAACATTGACTTCATTACTTTCACATTTCATCTTTCCTTACCTTTCACTATTGCCTTTTTACAAAAGGGTGTGAATGGAAAAAATATAGATGAACCAACTTCTTACCTTCCACAAATCGATTTCCCTCCTTTCGTAAGATACGGCAATCCAGAACGTTGAAGTTGAAGAATAGAATTAGATGTTTTTTAACATCACGTTACACAGTTATTCCGCATCCCATCGCTCAGTTTATAAAATTGAATAGTAATGTTATTCGAGATGATTTTATCACGTGAAATTTGATTTATTTTTTCTACCACATAAAGTTAAGTTTATAGTCTTGGTTTAATTTAGAGTAACTGATTATTAGATATGGATGTTTTAGGGTATGGATTTGGACACACATTTTGGAATATTTGATTTCAGTGTAGAATTCAAGAGTCGAATGAAGGGGACAATTTTGGTTGCATAAATCATTATAGAAATAACCATACAGTAATCTTAAATTATATGAATCACAAAATAAAGAGAAATATTCTATTGGGTTTACTCTTTACAAAATTCAGTGTTCCTTTGTGTCCACTTCACTAACAGCTGAATGGTAGCTTCTTTTTCACTTTACGGATGAGGAAAGGTGAGCTCAAGCAACCTTCTAGAACTTCTATCGCTGCACAGGGGTCTCCGGTTTCTGAAAATGCTGCTATGGCTGCTTGGGTGCAGGCTTTCACACTGGCCTCTGCCTGATAAACACAGAGCATACCAACGACAACAAGAACGACGAGAAGTTTATTCATACTGAGATAGTGCTGTGATTGCTTTCAAAGTAAAACTGGAAATGATGAACTTCCTTTCTTCGGTGCGGTTTAAGTACTACTTGAACTTATCAAATCATGAGGATGTAATTATATCGATTTAATTGTATTTGCACTTATCTGCAAAAAAAGAAGATTTGATAATAAGGGGTAACCGAATATGTTTCCATAGAAAAACGTGGTGCTTATTATTAAGGATTTTTTGATCTTTTCCTATCTCGACCGTTTGCATCGGATGTTGAACTGAAGGTGCGATTAGAGTGCTACCCCCGGTGGAAAATTCTCTTCAAATCAAATTTAACTGATTAACTTACCGAGGTGAAACTTTGCCCACGAAAGAATCAGATTTGGACAATAATTATAGAAAATTATTATGATTAGTATTAAGAAATCGTCAGTTCCACGGGGCCTTATCATTTACAAAAGGCTTGCAAAAAAAGGCATTGGTAATTAGGCAATAATGGCAGTGAATGAAATCCATCGCCTAGTTGAAATATTGTTTGATCAGGTAAACGATCCCAAATAATCGCACCCACGAATTAATGCAATGTGTCGAGCTATTCTCCTCAAATGCCGCTTAGAAATGTAAAAATGGAAATGTAATAGGCTTCTTTCAAATATGTAGGCTTCACCAACTGAAAAGTATTGTAATCAATGATTTAGCTGGACACTACATTTTTAAATGGCTATATCAATATGCTATCAATAATTTTTACCACAACCCAAAAACTGGGTCTAGTAGACCAAAATTAGTGTGTCCCTTTTTCCATCGAAAAAAATTTGAAATCTCAACACTCGGACTTTATAAGAGACTCGGCGAAAATTAATAGAGTTTCTCAAACATATGAAAGCCTTGAACGCCTTATCATTTTCCCGTTTCGCATGTTCAAACAATAAACATAAACCGCACACTTGCACTTTGCGCGCGAAATTGTTGGACAAGTTGAGTTATTAAGGCTGCGTTTCATTTCTAACTTCAAATCCTGAACCTTGAACTTACTGTGATAAATTCTTACTCGGATAACTCCACAGATTACAAAGAAGAGGTATTGGTGATTTGCCAGCGTGCAGAGACAGACGTTCAGATGGAGTTCTCACTTCAGAACTGTGAAGAGGTGTGGCTAAGTAAGGTGTTTGAGCTGAAGACAATCACGCGTAAGAGAATAAATGTGAGTAATAAAAATTGAAAACCTGATTTTTAAACGATTATTGACATCTTTAAATCTGTTTTTATAAAGAATCATAAATAAACGATATCCATATATGATATCGTTTAAATAAACGATATAATCGACAGTTGAATCCTCCTACTATCCTAGACAATTTCCTAACAATTCTATAGATGTATGCCCAGGGTGATTCCGAGAGTAATGGTCGTGTGGAACTTGTAAAAACCACCCGGGACTCTCAAGTTTTGGGTTCGTTCTCTGAAGGTAGATCCCGAGCGTTCTCCATCGCTAGTAAAGACAGTAAACTTACTGATCAGAACAGCTATAAGGTGAGATCTTGAACCCTTTCTCTCACCTGCCTCTTCCCGGACTCCCCTCCTGATCCTAACCCCCCCCCCCCCCCCCTCATCCCACACTGCTTTAACCTTCCTATGAAATATTCTTCAGATATTGAAGATATCGGACGATCTGTTAGTTAACCCTGAATAATATCTTTGTCAGGAATCCGAGCCGGTGTCCATTCTGGCAGAAACTGACTCTATATTCGAGTGTCTGTGGCATCACGAGATGATACTGGACAGTATCATGAGCCCAGGCTCAGCGTTCAGTGACGATATCTGCAAGTGGCAGAAGAAGTTGCAGACAGTCGAGCTGGCTCTAAAGACGTGGGTGTCGGTACAGACCAAGTGGCTGGAAATGGAGGAAATGTTTTCCATGATAAATATTATTTTGTCTCTGAATACCCACGCTCGTGTGTACGCTCACGTGGATCTAGAGTTCACTCACATGATGAAGAGTGTCGGGGAGAATCCTAACATCGTACAGCAGTGCTGCAAACCTGGTTAGTTATATGTCGGATAGTATTGTCAAGGGGCGGCATGGATCACATCATAAATCCGGGTTGGGTCCGGGACCACGATATTGTCAAATACTGTACCAGTTCAAATCCCAGTGTCACCAAGTCTAGGGAGTGAGCTTAAGTGAGCTAAAGATATCATTGGATCTATCAACATTGCGCATCTGTGTAACGTGTTAAATATAATATAACATAGAGGTATACAAAATAATTTTCTACAGGAATTCTAGCTGCACTGAAGAGTATCTTAGAGAAATTAGAAACCTGTGAGCGAGCTCTCGTGGACTTCACGCATAAACAGTGCTCCAGATTTCCCCGGTTCTACTTCTTGTCCGCTAAAGACGTCTTCCACATCATGTGTCACGGTTAGTTCAACACTTCCACAATCCACATCATGTGTCACGGTTAGTTCAACACTTCCACATCATGTGTCACGGTTAGTTCAACACTTCCACATCATGTGTCACGGTTAGTTCAACACTTCCACATCATGTGTCACGGTTAGTTCAACACTTGCATGCCAGTAATATTAACTCACCAGTAATAATTCCTGGCTAGGGATAGTTACTGGCCAGGAATAGTTAGGTGCTCAGCTTTTTATACATACTTGCCAATTCATGAGATCTTCATGGGCAATGTAATCATACTATTTATATTATTCGCTAATAAAGCTGCACAAACTTCACCATACCAATTGTGTTCATTAACATTCGACCTGAAAACTATAACGAGACTCATAACAAGACACTGTTTATAAATCTCACTCTAGTCTATAATCTAGTCTATAATCTAGTCTATAATCTAGTCTATAATCTAGTCTATACTCTAGTCCATACTCTAGTCTATAATCTAGTCTATACTTTAGTCTACACTCTAGTCTATACTCTAGTCTATACTCTAGTCTACACTGCTGAACAGTGAACACCTTCAGGACACGACCTAGTAGCGATGTCGTCCTACATCAGCAGGCTGCTTCCTGCCGTCTCCTCTCTCCAGATAGACCTGGACAGTGTGGCACAGCCCGTTACTGCACTCTCCACTGATATCGGGGAGACGCTCATCTTACAGGAGGTCTGTTATCAAGCTGGCTTTTTCTAGATTTATATTTGTGATTTGGAAATTACATCTGAAATGATGGAAGTTTCAACCTAAATCTGGATTCTAAAGTCGACTAAGTTTGTGTTTTTATGGTATATTGTGCTGATATCATTATGGTTTTTATTCTCTTCACTGGTAAGCGGTTTGTTAATTAAATTTTGTATGTGGATTATCTCAGCTGCAATAATTTAAAAAATCAAATTTAGGGTGTTGATTATTTCCAATAATTCATTCGTTCTGAATAATCACGCTGTTCAGGCCATGGTCGTGGAAACATAATGTGATTACGGTAATTAACGATGATAATTTGCTGGGAAATTCATGAAAAACATGTGATTATCACCTCATGGTGGTGAGGCAAAGCTTCATTATTTTATATTCAAATGGTGCAAGTTTGATAAGAGCATACGTGAGGGTTGAGAGTTCCTGGCTAAAATCTAAACTGGAAATTCATACAAATTTTTAAAAGGATTGTCTTCTATCCGGGCCAAGTGATGAAGTGAATATGGGTTTATTTGAAAATATATTATTTTCATCCTGATTTTTTTGTGAAATTTGATTCTGAGATAACAATTGACCAACAAGCTAGGGCCTGTGACCGAACTTATGAGTTCGGACAAAAATGACAGAGTTGTGAGCCAAAAACCATATGCCCATATTTGGGCATACGCACCAAATTTGATTGATTTTGGCCCATAAATTGCTCAAATATCAATATTTTTGAATGAAACCAACTTTATATAAAAGGTAAGCCTAAACTTCACATGTTCTCTATGATTATCATCTCAATATCTACATTCTACCTAACTGCACTGTGAATTCTGTGTTCAAATAATCGCAAAAAAATGAACAAAATCGCCCATATCTCAGTTCGCGATATTCGCGAAGCTGATTTTGATCAAAACCATAGAAATAAATAGGGTTGGGGGGGGCCAACCATATTAAAGTATATTAAAGTATATCCCCGGGTCAAAATCGGAAAAAATCCTACATTTTAATATACTTTAATATACCTACAATTAGAAGATTTATATTCTTCGTTAAGATTGACATGATGAACTATATTTTTCACTCAGATTCGCAAGCTAAGCCTGTTTTAGGACTAGTACATGAATTTCCATCCAGATTGGTCAAAAATTGGCTGAGCTATGAGCTTTAAAAAGTATGCCCATATTTGGGCATACGCTTTTGACCAAATTCGCTTTTGACCAAATTCGATAAAATTTCAATATTTTTTAATGAGACTAACTCTATGTGAAAGATATAACTCAGTGTTTGTTGAATATAGTGGATACTAAGTAAAAAGACCTCCATGAACAAAATTGGGAAAATTGCACATAATATCTCGGTTCGGAATACTAGCCAAAATGACTTCATTAAAATTGAAATAACTCCATCAGTTTTCAATATTTTTTCAAGAACTTTTTGGAATAGATTAAGAATTGCATTTCAAGCTTATTTTGGGCAACAATTTTTGAAGTAGGCCTCCAAGGAGATAGGGATATTAAAGTATATTGTAGGTATATTAAAGTATATTAAAGTATATCCCCGGGTCAAAATCGGGAAAAATCCTACATTTTAATATACTTTAATATGGTTGGCCCCCCCCCCCCCCCCAGGGTTTCAATATTTTTTCATGAAATTTTCAGAATCAATGTAGAATTGCATACATGATTTCTCATCTAAACAGTTCGAACTTCGATATCGTATCTTAGCAGTATTCCAACAACTAATCCGTCTTTATTTTCAGCCGGTGCCAACTGACTTTGAAATATTCGAGTGGCTATCCTGTCTGCTGGACATAATGAAGCTCTCGGTGACCGCTGACTTGAACGAAACTCTAAGAACTGCCGTGTTTGAGTTTGAGAATTTGAATGAGGAAAACTGGATCTTCCAGTGTTCTAGCGGTTAGTTTACCCATTTAAGTAGCTCAAAATTACCAAACAAAAATATGCATCATAATTATGTTATTATATGAATTCAGCAGACATGTTACATTTTAATAATATAACTCCTAGTCCTCAGTTATTCACCGGTTATCTGATAACCAAATCATTACCTTCTCCCTCTCTTTGGTAACCAAATCATTCCCTTCTCCCTCTCTTTGGTAACCAAATCATTCCCTTCTCCCTCTCTTTGGTAACCAAATCATTCCCTTCTCCCTCTCTTTGGTAACCAAATCATTCCCTTCTCCCTCTCTTTGGTAACCAAATCATTCCCTTCTCCCTCTCTTTGGTAACCAAATCATTCCCTTCTCCCTCTCTTTGGTAACCAAATCATTCCCTTCTCCCTCTCTTTGGTCCTAGTCCTCTTAGTCTCCAGCGTTCAATTAATGTTTACTGTTTACAGAAAGTGTGTTACTGGCAGTACAAATGCTGTTGGGGAAGAAGTTACGGGATTGTTGTCAAGCCATTGTTGATGGATCCAACAAAAGTGCTCTGTCAGAATTTGCTGAGGAATTAACTCATATGATAGGTAAAATGAATATTTGGTAATTAACACTGCTGAACTCGCTTTTCTTATCCCTCTGGACTAATCTATCTGCCAACATTTCAAAACCCGATTTGATAGGCTTCCTTCGTTGGTAACAGCACTATAATACACTTCATGACCGGATGGTTTTCTAAACCACCCCTAACTGCTCCCAGGTCAACTCCAGCGGATCCTGCAGGCAGCCGGAGAAGAACTGAGACCTAAAGTAGTAGCCGAGGAGGATGTACCCCCGTCAGATGACGAGATTCCTCGGTCTGTCTCTCAGAATGTTCCAGAACGAAGCAGGAAAGGAACTCCTCTTCCTGCCTCTCCTGTTGTACAGCAGGTGGAGGAGGATGCTAAGAGCGAGGCTAGAAGCGAGGGTTAGTGATATTTTGTCGTCCGGTTCATCAGATTTGTAAATTTTCTATCATATTAAATATTTTAAACGCGGTGGGCTCAAAAAGCAGACACTAAATTAGCTGAGTGGTCAGCACGGAAAAGTCGTAGCAAAACACATTTTTGACTGAAAAAGATGATTCTATTAAGCAATCTTATAGAAAGGAAACTCCTTCCCACTGCATATTGGGACTTTACAATTTCGTCTGCATATTGGAATATCGCAGTAGTCCCACCTGGTAAACACACTACTTGTGTAACACCAGGGTCTCCCGCCTTTGTCAGGGGTCCTGTGGATTAGAACATGTTTCAAAAGTAAAATACGTTTCAGCCGAATGAAATATATATTGGGAATATTTATTTAGAAAGATACAAATAAAAGTAACGAATCTTTTCAACTAAACGATTAAAACGCAATGTTTCCTTATTTACTGAAACAGAACTGACCTGCAATAATTGTGATCCCCAATCCCAGCCCAACTGTAATCATCAGAATCATATCCGTGGACGTGAGGGAAGTTGGAGCTCCAGTTCTGACAGGTGCTCCCTCCCACAGTTTCACTGACCTTGCCCCGGTAATCCTGCCCTAATCCGAAGTAACATTCCTGCTCCCACACGCACGCGGGTATATCCTCGCAGGTCTCAGTCTTTGTTTCGGAGACATAACAGAAGGGCTTGTTTCGCGCGCCTGTTGGGTCGGGGTTCCGACAGAGGTTGTTGGGCTTGGCAAACTGTGCTAAAGAGGTTATGTTCCAGTTAATGCAGTCTCCTGACTGGGCTTTTGCAAAGTTTCCGCGGAAGGTTTTTCCATTCTCCATGTAACAAAAGACGTCGTTTGTAAGGGCAGAAAAAGAACCAATAGCGGAAATATCAGACGTATTCCTTGCTTCAAAGCCTTCCTTAAGAATACTAGAAGATCCCATTAACTCAACGTCTTCGTAGACCTTGAACTCCCCTCGAATGACCCTTAGCGAATTTACCGCCATATGTACCTTTAAACTGTTATCATGGAACTTATAACAGTCCCCTCCAAACTCCACTTTCGAGCAGATCTCCATGACAGGCCCAACACAATCATCTTGAGATTTGGATCCTTCAGACAGAGTGTAAGCAGTTTTGGGACATGACACGCACTGCACTGCTCCTTCAACAGAGCTGTACTGGTCTCTAGGACACGCTCTGCAGGCCACAGGGTTCACGATGTTGCTGAACGTGCCCTGAGGACAAGGTGTGCAGACTTCAGACTGGTAGGCTAGATAGTGACCTAGTGGACAGTCGTCAGCTGAGGCTACCGAGACGAGTAGCAGAACAGCTGTAATCAGCATCTCAACTGGGATAAATATGGAGCAGGGTGAAGCGGGGAGGATTCGGTGCTAGTTGCTACTAAGTATTTTGGTTTATAAATAATTGTACTGGCTAACATCACCTGTTTCCATAATTATTATAATATCGTCACGTGTATGTGTTAAGCTCGTTGTAACTGAGCTGCAGCGGTTTAGTGGCCGCACTAACTCACGTTACCGCTCTCGTTTACACCCAACCCCATAAATGTCGAAATATGGAACTTTGAATGACCTATTTAACCAATATCTAGATACGGTTTAATAATTTGAAATAGAACTAAAGTTAAACCTCGAACGTACATTGCATCTGATGCTCTAAAATATTAATATGAGCTCTGAGAATGCGATACCACTGAGATATTCAATATCATACATAATATAGATAATAAATTCATCAATAATCCTTTTTTATCAATCATTTATTTGTTTCCTTATTATTAGCTTGAAGTTTTTACCAGTTTTAATCTGGTATGTTCGCAGGATGCCAGCTGGTACCACACCAACTGGAGAAAGTACGAAACCTCATCCTGAGTCTGTTGGGTCTACGAAACCTTACTAACAAGCTGATTGAAGAACCAGCAAATCCCGACTCATTCACCCTCAAATCTCAACTGTGCTATGCCATGGTGGAGAATCAGCTTACTGTTTCTGTTCTGAACAAATCTTACAAGTCAGTAAATTTTCTCTAAAGTTTTATTCAGTGGCCAGCACTTGTTCAGTTTATGTCACGTGGATTTGAAAATTTGTAGGAGCCATATTCGCTGTTACCTCACTGCAGTCCGTTTTAAAGGATGTCAAATATTTGACCGGGAAACTTGTTCAGGTACGGGTACGAGTATCAGGGCACATGTCCTAAGATAGTCACTACTCCTGATACTGACCGAGCCAGACTAGCACTCTTTGCTGCCTGCCATGCTTACAACGGAACCGTCCTCCTCAGTCATCGGGTATGTTGCTATTTATTCAAAGATTAAAGTACTGTGTTGCTAACGCAAGCTGTGGTTTTAAAATACTTCACAGTTCTGTGTAATATAATCTTCTCACATCAAGTTTTTGTGTCTATTTCATTAAAATCTGGAATATTTCAAACAAAAAAGTGTAAATATGGACAATACCCATTAAAGACATCACACCAGGGGAGTGGTAAGACGGAGCTGACACGTGACATCAGCAGATGTCTGGGAGAGACCCTCTACATGTTCAGTGTTACTGCCAGCACCAGTCTGGAGTCTGTCCGGGACATCTGTCTTGGCATGGCCAGCTCCGGTGAGAGATTATTTACCTTTTGCAGATAATGCACCATCACAGTGTGATAAATATTCGATTGAAATATAATATTTTTGTAGGAGTTAGAACTTTTTTCATTACAATATGAATAATTTAAGATAAACTTAAAATAATATCGTAAGCTTTGAACATAAGTGCGAAAATGTAACATTTGTAACATGTTTCTAATTTCACAATTTCACCCCCTGCCCACTGCCAGGTTGTCACGTGTGTTTAGAAGGAATGCCGTCTCTGGTACCGGGGGTGTTGTCCCTCCTAGTGGTCGCTGTCCGGGACATCATGTCAGCTATCAGTCAAAAACACGACCATGTCAACGTTCTGGTTAGTATTATAACTGATTTTTTTTGTATACGCATTAACGTCCGGGACTCAGACCTGAGTTTAGTCATTTTCCGATACGAGATTGGGGACGGGTCCTATAAACAAACAAACAACGTCCGGGACGATAGATTTTGAAAATTAACTTCTACAATGCAACTCTGTTGAGAGTCTCATCTCGTTCAATACAGAGTATTTTGAAATTTCTGTACATTATAGCTTATTTGTTTACCATTGATATTGTTTGATTGCGCCGTAAAAATAAATAACTGTTTTATTAAATAAGTGTTTTATCAAATACTTATTTCTAAAAATTCCCAATTAATTTGAAATCTGGTTCTGCAGGACCACGATGTACCTCTCACGCTAACCGGAAGATGTTTCGGTACCTCCCTCCCCACCCCTACTATCAACCTATCTGACATAACTCAAGGAGTGTTCCGTCTTGTCACTCTTACTCAACCTGAGGAGCGCACTATCTACGAGGTAAGAATGTGCCATGTGGTGTGTGCTTTTCTAGAAGTATTTGTTACTGTGTTTCTAAGCATTTTTAGCATATTTCCGATTCATAAGCTAAAATCTTCCTGTTTTTCTATTATAGCTAACCTGCTACATTTGTTCACGCTATGCATGTTCCGCTGCAGGCACTTCTTTTGACACACGGATTTGTGTATGCGGGAGGTCTCGCTACAAAGCTGGTCTCACTGCTAGAATCTTTCAAAGCGCTGGTACAGCCCTCTGTTTACTCGCTCAACAATGTTAAGGCCTGGTTCACTGACGCAGCCGATAGAAGGTTCGTATTTAACTATAAAACAATCGGCCTTACCTGATATATTGTTGGATCTTCAGGAACTTTAAATTCGTAATACTTTAATTTGCCGCCTTTTCCGCTTGAGCTCCACTCAATTCACGAACGCTTGATATTATCTTGAGTAGATCCCCCACCTACTAAACCCAGGGAGTACGTAGTAAAAGAAGACGAGATACCCACCCTAGCTGCAGAAGAAGAGGTGTTGCTGCTAGCAATCCGGGATATCCTGACTCCTCGACTTACTGAGGATCATGTGGTTCTCCTTCAGCACCTCTTCTCTACATTCTATCCTGATGTCAACTTTAACAGGTACTCTCAGCTTTTTTGGAAACATTGTCAATAAAGCCCTGTTGTTGGTACAAAGGATACTGTTTTATGAGTGATTCCGCATACATGGCATACTGACAGTGAATAGCTTCTGTAATCTGTACAGTGTACATGATGATTTTTTTGGTATTTTTTTCTCGGTAATTAATGGAATATGTTGACTGTTGAGTGTGATAAAGACACCCGAATACTGAAATTATCGATAAAGCGACAGGTCTATCGAAGAAGATATGACGATGACAGAATCAAGGCTTCAAGTTGCCCTACAATCAACCAGTGACCTGATGGCACCCAACAAATCAGACACTGCAATATTTGTCGACCCCAAAGAGGCCCTAGTGTCAGTTCTAAAAGAGAATGGAATCTGTCCGACCGTACCCATGATAGCTAAGCTTTCCCAACTCGCTCTGCTTCTATCCACCCAAAAAATCGTAAGTAAAACTAAAACATACTGTGTTACTCCTTGTTCAATCCATGGTGATTTATGACTTTGATACCAATCTTTGGACATCAAATCCCTACAATCCCTCCCTTGATTTACTTGCTGAATTCACATACTCCCAGGTGATAGTTGTGGGTGAGGCTGGTTGCGGTAAGACCACCTGCATCAACACCGTCGGCCAAGCTCACCGTGTAATGGGGACTCCCGTCAACACCGAGACTGTTGTCACACACGCTCTGAAAACAGCGGATCTGTTCGGCAGCTATTCTGAGAGCTCCTCGTGGGAGGATGGCATGTTCACCCTGCTTCTAAAGCAGTTCAGTTCCATGAGTGAAGCTGAAGGGTACTGCTGGCTCGTCCTTGACGGACTGGTTACAACAGGTGCTTATCATAAATTGATACTTTTACCTCATGCCATCCTGTTTTTAATAATGGCGAAGTAGGCGAGCTGAACTTTCTGATTGTCTGAGTGTCCGACCTATCACGTAAGAGAACCGCCCCATGCGACCACTCTTCGGCCAATCAGCTGTGAGTGGATGCGTGCGCGCGGCTCTTTCCCTCTCCTCGGCGTGGGAACAGTAGCACACTTGACTAGACACGCGATATTTAATCGGTCATATTTCTTAAATGATTTACTGATATCGTTATCTTGAGTTTATCGATTTCTTACACAGTGCTTGTTTCACGATAAATTTAGATAGACAAGGGGCGATTATTCCGTAATGGTATTGAAAGAGCTCTTTTATTATTTTTAGGAGCTTGTCAGTAAAATAAAATGTGCGGTTTCATACCTCAGAGTATCTTATGGGTTAACAAATTAAAATTAATCTTCATAGTTATGATTCAAATGGTACAATTATCCCGATTTTTAGGTCAGCTGGACACGCTAACGACCATTCTACACTCTGACAATACTCTCCTGCTCCCCAACTCTGCAAGAGTTAAAGCCGGGGCAAATGTCCGGGTTATATGGGAGGTCAGTTTCTTAAGCTACCTAGCGAGAAGATGTAACGACGCGCCATTTTGATTATTTTCATAGTTTTCAGCTTAGTTTTAGATATCATTGACTTATATATGTTACCTTTATACGGTTATGTTCATCAGGACCGGCTTGATAAAATTTATCCCTGCCCCACAAGTACCAGGAAACATTTCATCACAACCTTAACATTGTTTAGATGGAAGACTTGTCGAGTCTGTCCCCGACCACCTGTGCGACAGCCGGCATCTTCGTCATCGCCTCCGACCCTGATCTGTGGTGCCGCGTTCTGGAACGGGAGCTGTTCCTTCACGAGTCCGAGGAGTTGGTCAACACGGCCATCACTGTCCTGAGTGCAATGTCCAACTTTGTGAAGACTCATAAAGTGGAGCTAGCTGTTGAGATGACGTTGGAAAGTGTGGTCATGACATTCTGTGCCATAGTCTCGGTAATACTGAGTTTAATAATTCAGTGTTTTGTAAATTGTATCTTGAATTTGTCTAAGAATAACCGTGTACAAGAAATGGTTTATATATAACAACATTTTACTGTTGATGATAATTTATATATCCAATTACAATCTCATTTCCTCAGAGTTTACTACAAGCGAACCCTCTTGAGACAGCTTTGGTGGAGAGCTTAGTGGTATTTGCAGCTTCCTGGGCATACGGAGGAATCCTAACGCCAGATTCGCAAACCAAGTTTAACGATTTCGTTCTGAAAACGTGGCCCTTCCCCCAAACCAACAACAGTTCTACAGTTAGTTAATGCACATTTAACTGGGAACACCTCTTGGAGTAGAAAATCATAATAATACTATGACTACTGATTACATCAATTAAATCGTTAAACTAAAACTGAATTATAGTTTAAATTACTTATAGCACCATCACTTTTTATGAGACGGATCAGTTCTCCGCTAAAACTTGCAGTTGATGGAAATAAAGCTAAAAGCTACTGATAATTAATTTTGAAAAATTGAACCACTCGGCTCCCTCCAACCCCCCCCCCCCCCCCCCCCCCCCATGCCAGTTCATACCTCTATTTCAGATCTGGGACTGTACGTTGGGAGAGAGCTGTGTGCTACTCCCTGAAAGCCCGACCTCTCCTACTGCTGGTCTTTCTAACGAGGTCAACACTGGTATTCCCTTCGTCCATACACATCGCATGAAGGTTGGTTGCAAAGACTGAACTTAAAGCTGAATACTTTTGGATTCTTGATAGTATTTGGTAAATGGTATTCGTGTTTTTCTGAATACTTATGAGTCTGAAGGATTTGTCTTGTACATATTCAATATTCATGTGACTTCATGATGAAATCTTTGTCGAATTTTTCCTTAACAAAAACGCCCTTCTTCCACAGAGGTGTATAAGCGTAATGAATATGTGCACGAACGTACAACGGCCCGTGTTGTTGGTGGGCGAGATGGGAGTGGGTAAAACACTTCTCATGAGGGAGAAGCTAAGGAACAGTCAGGCTTTAGAGGGCCTTCAAGTCACCCTCAATTGTGATAAGTAAGTTCGCTCTTGACATTTTAATCCCTAGAACTGAACACTATTTGAGGTAGATACAAAATTCAATATTCGACATTCTACAACTAATTTAACCAATCTAAAGCTAAAAACAACCTCAGTTTCACCGATGGTTACGTGCTTAGTAACCGGTTACATGAGCACATGGAGTGGAAAGCAGCTAACTATTACGATCCCAAAAACTCTCGATACCTTATATGTTTTATCGACAACCTCAACATGGCCAAGGTAGATTATCATTAGATTTGCTTGAGTGATCGTTTATGTGTACTGCGAGCTGGTCTCAAGTCTAGACGCCATCATTTCATTTTCATTACAAAAACCCTGTGTAGTTATTGACTACTGATATCAAACACATTAAGGTTAGCAACTTGAACCACTTTATTTTAATTATGTAATTATGTAATTATGTAATTATGACTTGTTATCAATACTACCCTAAAATCTCTACCCAGGTGGAAGGAGATGGGCAGATGACGGTGAGTGAAACAATCCGACAGCACATAGACCACACCTTCATATTCAACAAGTCCACCATGTCCCTGAACCACCTCCGCAACACCGTCTACAACGTCACCTGTGGAATGAACCACAAACTATCCACCAGATTTACCAGACATTTCGCCGCTTTTGTTCTCCACTACCCAGAGTAAGTTTCGGATTTCGCTCTGTTTTTGTTTGGCCTTTGATGCCGAAAGTCCATTTTAGTTACAATTTCTGGTGTTACAATTATAGAATATTGAGTATAGGATGCTCTGATTATTAGAAAGCGCCCTTAATTTGCTGCTCTTCGAATCAGTGATTATATCATGTGAATTTCAAATGTATAACGTGGCATCCCCGGCAGGAAAGGAGCACTGGAGCACATCTTCACAGCAGTCACAAAGTCTAAACTATCCTCTTGCTCAATAAACTCGAGCAAATTCTCAGAACTGTCAGAGGATAGGCTTTCTCAGGAGGAGATAACGCAGGATCTTATCCATAGCATTCTTAGGATCACCATTGAAGTGCAGGACAGGTGATTAAATAATTGCATAATTACATAATTAAAATAAATTGGATCACCATTGAAGTGCAGCACAGGAAATCAGAGCGGGCGTAGTGTTGAAATAGCGAAATAAAATGGAGTGAAAACAAAAATTCGATAACTGCCTCGTGCCGCCGGTCTTGACATTTGAATCTTAAATCTTCGCTTATATTACGGCTTAGGATCCAATATTTTGATACGATAACGTACATTCTAGGATCGGGAATTGAGATGATGCAAACTTTTTTTGGCTTAAAGTTAAATCATTATAATTTCACAATCTTCTCAGATTGAGAACGATGTACCTGCCAACTAAAGAAAGATGTCACTATCGGTTTAGTCTCCGAACTATATCAAACATCTTCAGAAACCTCCTTGTTTCTCTCAAACCTAAGGTACATGTGAACTTTAAGCAATTGTGTCTATGATTTAGTTCAGACATTTATTTTCTTGATTTATGAACAATTATTTTATTATTCCTCCGATAATTCTTGTACGACCGTAGATATTCCAGGCTCTTTCGTCGTAGGAATGTTTTCAATTGAATATAGATTATAGGGGGTGTTTCTATTCTAGGTACAATCTGTAATCTGTATCATCTCTATCTATTATCTATCCAATCTCTCTGTATTTTTCTGATCTCTGGTTGTCAGGACAACACAGCGAAGGACCTGCTCCTGTTGTGGAGTCACGAGATGTCGTGTGGGTACAGTTACAGGATGATAAACACAGTCGACAAGGAGAGATTCCAGCAGACCTTCGCCATGTCCGCCAAGAAACACTTCTCCAAGGATGACTACGTAAGTTCAGGGGGGGGGGCCCCCCCCAAGTTCAGCTTCGTTTTCATTCAATAATTTCAGTGTTCATTGAATAATTTGTTGAAGTAAGTTTAGCTTCGTTTTTTTTTTTGAATAATTTCAGTGTTCATTGAATAATTTGTTGAAGTAAGTTTGAAAGATTTTCATGATGATTACTGGTAACCCGAGAAAATAAGGGTACAAAATCTTGGTAGATAACAACAATTTCATAAAATTCAGGTGTCGGTGTGTACAGCAGTTGAACAACCGTTATTCAGCAGTATTGTGGGATCGGACGCTTACCACGGATACGAGGGTACATTTTATCTTCATATGAATCACGACAAAATAAATTTGTTTTTTAATGAGAATAGGTTGACGGGGATTGGCCCTTTCACGGAATATTTTTGTTTATGATCGAAATTTTATTCCAGGATGAGCAAAACTAAAACCACGCTGTAGAAATATATAGATGAATACATAATCAATGTATTCAAAAACAACTTCACTAGATACATTATATACATTATATACACTAGATACATTATATACACTAGATACATTATATACACTAGATACATTATATACACTGACGATACATTATATACACTGACGATACATTATATACACTGACGCCCAGATTGATACAACTGTGAACTATCTTGATGTCCAACTGTACCTAGATGAAGAAGGCCAGATCCAGTACTCACTCTATAGGAAGAAGACTGACGCTAGGCAGTATTTGAACACTACTAGCTTCCACCCTCCCCAAGTATTTGATTCGGTGGCATTCAGCCAACTGCTTAGAGTCATCAAAAGGAACTCTCAGGAACACACCAGCCTCAAAGACTTGGAAGATCTGAAGACCGACCTTTCTAGATGTGGGCACAACGCAGACAAATTGGACGAATTGGAGCCTTTAGCAGTAGAAAGAGCCTTGAGAAATGCTAGTGCAGCACACAGAATAGCCCCTAAGAAGGAAAAGAGTGCAAGTTCCTTGGTGTTCACGACAAAGTACTTCAAAGAGGTGAAAAGTCTTAAATCCGTAGTACATGACATGAAAGAGGATATAGAGAGATTGATAGGTGATGTACGAATTATCTTTGCCCTGAAGAAACACGAGGCAATTAATGACTATGTCATAAAGAATAGATCTCTTAGCCGAGGATTTGCCCAACACCAATTTCGTACAGCATCCTCTCAATCATGTGGTGGTAAGAAATGTGGAACTTGTCCCCTATTATTTGAGAGTGGAAAGAAAGTAATGGTCAATGGAAAAGAAGTTATCCTGGACATGAGTTTGAGCTGTAGAGACAAAAATGTAATATATGTTGCCCAGTGTAGTATTTGTACAGGTAGTAATTTAGGAGAGAGCACCTATTTTGGTCAGACAACCACTGAAGTGAGACAACGTTTTAATGGGCACAGGAGTAAATTTAAATTAGATGCTGATAAGTCTTATACTAAATCAGCTTTATCGCAGCATTGCTTTAATGAACACCCGGAATTTATGAGTCTTATTAATTTTAAAGTTGCATTTGTCAAGAAGTGTCCAGCAATAGAACTTGATAGAGAAGAGCATCGATTAATTTCTATATTCAGAACTAATATTTTGGGGATTAATAGAATAAAAGTTATAAGATGATAAGTTTAGTTATTTTTGTTGTGTAATTTATTTGCCTTCCGTAATTTTTGTCAGTATTTATGTTTTATTATGATTGGTGTCCCGTTAATTTTATTTAAATTAAAATAAAAGATTTTTTTCCATACATACAAAAAATTTTTTGGGATTCTTGTTTTTAAGTCTGTTTTGTTTCTACCTATATATGAGCCTAACTTATTTCTATTCAGGAGGTTCTCTCAAGATGATTTTTAATTCGAAGATTTCAAGAGCCTAAACTGTGTATGATTCGCCTCTCCAAACAAATCAAAAATTATATACACTAGATACATTATATACATTAGATACATTATATACACTAGATACATTATATACACTAGATACATTATATACATTATATACACTAGATACATTATATACACTAGATACATTATATACATTATATACACTAGATACATTATATACACTAGATACATTATATACACTAGATACATTATATACACTAGATACATTATATACATTAGATACATTATATACACTAGATACATTATATACATTATATACATTATATACATTATATACACTAGATACATTATATACACTAGATACATTATATACATTATATACACTAGATACATTATATACACTAGATACATTATATACACTAGATACATTATATACACTAGATACATTATATACATTATATACACTAGATACATTATATACACTAGATACATTATATACACTAGATACATTATATACATCAACACCCGATCTGTGACATTTGAAAGCACATGTTTAAAGATAACGGTCAAGATTCTGCAGGTAGTGAAGGTGCACTAAAAGAGTACCGGGCTATGCCGGACTCTGCCTCCGTCGTCATCAGGATGCAGCACAACATATCTGAGTTTGTCAAACACTTCGGCTCCATCAACATCGAACTTTACGAGGTAAATGGTTGAACTGATCTTTATCATTATCATGACATGCATTTGCTGTGTCCTCTTGAAAATAAATTATAATTTTCAGGACCAGGATCGCCTTATTAGGTTTTGCACTTCGAACCAGGACATTTACTTAAACTTTTAGACTTATTTACAGTTACTATAATTGGTATCTTTTTATTATCACATTATCTCCAGAGCACGATTTCGCTGGTATCGCGCGTGTTGCATGTGTTGCAAAACCCTCACGACATAGGACACGTGCTCCTTGTTGCTGATGGCTGCGCGGATGTTGCCAACAAGGTTGCTGCAATCGCTGCCAGCATTCTCGGTATGTTATATAAAACTGTCTGACGTACTTTTTCGTAATTTTGCAACAATTTAAGTTATAATATTACTTGGTTAAAAATACTCTATATTCAATTAATAATCGAGCGATATCCAAGGCCCAAGCTATCAAAACTAAACCCAACTCTCCCAGGTGCTGCCGTGGTTTCCCCTTCCTACTCTCCTGAGAATCCATCAAACTATTCCCTTGCTGATTTTTGTGCTGACTTCACCAGTGCCATAGTCGAAGCAGGAGTCAAGGTATCAACATTCAATCTTTCAACTTCCACTTCTATGCCGGTTTACTTGCAAATTAATCTTCATTTTCCATAACTATCCTTCTTGTCGCAGGGCAAAAAGATCATGTTTCTGCTTCAAGAACACGAGGCGGCGGATCCTGAGTTTCTAGTGCACGTTAGCGAGTATGTTTCGTCCTGTTCTGTCGCTGGGCTCTTCTCGGCGGAGGAGCAGGTCAACATCGGCAATTCCCTCAGATCTGATCTCACTCAAGCTGGGATTAGTTTCAACCACGAGATCGCTTTTCAATTCTTCTTGAAGTAAGTTTAAGGACATCGTAATTTCTAGAAATTCATCATAGCATAATTATAACTTTATTGAAGTTAACATTTTTAAGGTCGAATGAAAATTGTCAAACTTACCTATTTCAGGAACGTACAAGAGAATCTAAGAGTAGTAATGACGACTTCAACAAACAACTGCCAGCTTTGGGAATGGTCGTCCCGGTATCCATCCATGTTGAACTGTATCAATGTCATGTGGTTACCACACTGGGATAGCGTACAACTGCTCCATGTCTCCAAATATCATCTTGAGGGTTCGTCCTGATTTTATGAAATTGTTTCTTATAACAGTTTGAAATTTCTTATGTTTCTGATTTAATTCAGCTCAAAAATTTAGCGACCAATCGTTCTGAAAATTAAAAACTTCCTGCTCTTTAGATTAAATTCTCCCTGAATTATTTAATGTGATACTTCTACAGGTATAGAAGGTCAAACGGAAAAGGAAATTAATAATCTAGGCCATCTTCTGACAAACATTCACAAAGCAACATCTCCTTCCGGAAACTTCAACAACACCGATTTTGAGAACTTCGTCAAAAAGTTTGTCATATGGCCTCTATTTGTACTATTCGTAGTTTGTTATATCGTTTTTTCCTCTGCGGAATTTGAATTATCTGCCCTGTTTGTGGCATCTGTAATTTCATTCTCACGAAATACTTATAATGTAACTGTGCAGGTTCGTGGACATATTTCTTAAACAGGGGGTAATAGTGAAAGCTAAGCGGAAACACTTGGAACAGAGCTTGTCTTGTATTAGAAAAGTGTCATCTCATGCAGGTGGGAAATTTGTTTTAATCTGTACAAATCAACTGTAAATTCCTATTGTGCTGAAAAATATAATACCGAAACAACTAGTTGATATGGATTCATTTTTATTAAAAATATGACACTTTCCGTACAGTAAGGTTCGATCGTAAAATAAAACATTGTAAGTAAAGCGAGAGCGTATACGCAAATCATAGTGGTTATATAGGGGAGGGGATCATTTTTTTGTCCATTTTTGTCCATGTGGCACCCTATATTTTTAAAGTGGACAAAAATAGGTTGGACAAAAATGGACAAACAATTTCAAAATATGTACATGGAAATACTCCGAGACGAAAGGGGAACTCACTTGCTTTTTGGGTTAAAATCGATTTCTCGACTGTTATCACCTTTCTAGATGCTTAAAATATTTCGCCTTTATTTCACTCTTTACTTTTAAATGTAATAATGGTGTTTTGGGCCACTCCCTTTTCTAGAGTTTCGCGATCACTTGAATTTTTGTATTTTAGCCAAGGAAGATCGTAGAGACTATTTTGAAACACCAAAATGTGCCTAATAGCCATATTTATATACCACTTATGAAGCAACATATAATATATGTATCTATTATCTTTAAATGCTTTTTTTTCGGAAATATGGACGAAAAACGGTTTTTGGCTTGACGCAGTTCATAATTTCCGTGCTTTTTTTGTGTTTTCCGCATAATATAGAGAGGCATATTCATTATTCATGAATGTAAAATCTTGTCCTGACCAAACAGCGATTTGAGGAAGAGCTTCCAGGTTTATCAAAAATCCCTTTGTTATTTCCTTTTCTTAACATAATATAACCTATAGCTATCTACTGAGCTTCTGTTATCGGGTCGGCCCACAATAAGTTATTTGATATATTTACTTTAACTGTTAACAGTTCGGTAAAAGTTCAGTAAATGGTTTAAAAAGTTCGCGGGGTTCGGCACCTTTCGAAGGTTTGTTGAGAATGTGGCAGTATCGAGATAGCCCGACCACGGTCCGCGGACCACTGTCCGCGGACCACTGTCTGCGGACCACTGTCTACCAGATCATATTACTGTATAATAACAGTATCCCCTGAATCAAGCAACAGGTGTTTGTGAATAGTTGATTGGTTACCAGATCATATGAATGGTATGTATGGTATTTTGGATGCAATTAGTTACGACTAGAAATGATTGATGCAGTCTGATAATAGTTATTCTTTATATATTGCATGATGTGAACTGATCTCGTAAGGTTGCTTAATCGTTTAATAAGCCTTGACACCACCGCTGATTGGAATTCGCGTGCGATGATGTGAACCCTGCTTGACTCAGGGGATGATGTGAACCCTGCTTGATTCAGGGGATACTGTTATTATACAGTAATATGATCTGGTAGACAGTGGTCCGCAGACAGTGGTCCGCGGACAGTGGTCCGCGGACCGTGGTCGGGCTATCTCGATACTGCCGAGAATGTTTTCCCAACTAGGGGTCTTCCGATCTCCCCGAGTTAATGAAAGATGCATCGTATATTTGTATATCCCTCTTCTGAAATCTACTGAACTTCTGTCATTGAGAGAACCACCAGAATCTGCAGAGCACTGAGCACTAACGCAGTGATAATAACAGAAGGTAGCGGTGCAAAGGCCACCATAGCTGTTCCAACTGCACCTCCAACCAAGTTCATAGCAAGCGAAACACTGGAGCCAAGAGCAAACATCTCCGCTCCGAAGTAATCTATGTCGTAGAGAATGTAACCTTTGGCCATACCAGTGACCCCATACAAGAACTTGACGATGAAGTTGGTTGTTACAACTACTGCAAGATGATCCTGTGCAAGCATGCCTCCAAAACTCGCCACGTTCAGTATGGCAACTATCACTTGAAATTTGCGAAAATTGAATTTCTTCCTCGTGAAGTGCATGAATAACCGTCCGAGGATAGCTGCAAATGTGACGAGGGCCAGTAGCAGGAGTTCCTTTCCTTGAGTCACAGTCACTGAGCAGTCACTGTTTGGTTCGGCTTCCTTGGTCTTGAAGGCCTGGATTAAAGTGGGTACGAGAAGAATAGTGAGCCAGCCCTGGAAGAAGACCACAAAGCCGAACAACCCTAGTTTTGTAGTTCTGGCAACAAAATTTGGAACAGTCGCAGACACCGTTTCCTTCTCCTCCTTTTGGTTTTGCTCATTCACAGTTTGTCCCGTTTTCTGTCCTGATGTCAACGCGGAACTAAAGTGGAGCATGAAAATGGGTGGTATGAAGAAAGGTAATGATGTCAGAAGAATGAAAATCCTCCATCCTACCACATCTAACAGCAGGTATCCCAGAATCGCCGACCACATTCCTCCGACACTGTACGTTATGAACAATGCCATCACCATCTCGTCAAGAACTTTCTTACTAGAGATCAGCTCAGCAATCAAGACGCTATGGACGGAAAAATTGAGTCCAAGAGAAAACCCGATAAGGGCTCTAGAAATGAGAAGTGTGGTGTAGTTAGCTACTATAGCACAGGCAACTGTGCTGATAGCGCTCAAATAGAGGGAAAACAGAGTCAAAACTCTACACCCAAACCTGCAAAAGATTAAATTTGTGTTGGAAAACGAAGCACTGAAGTAAGCTTTAACTTATCTGGGGACTCCAAGCTATTATGTTCATAAACTTAATAGAGATTCGGCGGAATGACAGGCTGAGCGCCGCCCAGTAAGCTTTAACTCTCCGAAAATAAATATTAATGTTTTTCCGGTTTGTATGTCAGCTAGATCGATAAATTAATTTCTTAAGATAGCAAACCTGTGAGCCAATATTCCTGAGAAGGCGACAGCAACTGCTAAAGTGGAGTACTGTATGCAGTCCAGTATTGCTTCCTTCCATGGAGAAAGTTCAATTTCGCACGAAACTTGTTGTGTTATCACTCCTGGATTAAAAATGGTGATTTCTAGTTTCTGATGATATGTTGTTGGGTTCAAGTTTTAAAAGTTTTTTAATGAAAGAAATTTGACTTTTTTCTAGAAAGCACCAAATGATCTGGGAATTCTTTAATTGGACGAACCAGGCAAATAGATTTCCATTCCATCTCCAAGGTTAATGACGACACCAAATATTAACAAAAGCTTATCCATTCTTGTCCACAGTTTTACTGGTTTGATTAAAGAACCAGTTTCATGTCTAATTTCAGGTTCGAGATCTGGATTAACCATCTTGTTCGAAATAAATAGTAAAATATTTGCTTCAGAATTCTAATAGAAAATCAGGATACAAAGATTAAAATTAACATCGATCTCGAGCAACTTTTTGAATGTTTTATCCCACTCAAATGATACAAAAACTTCATCACGTCAATTTGATCGGACCTGAGTGCAAGAGGTGCTAAAGTTTAACTTCTCAACTCCGTTAGGCTTTATAACTCTAGCAATTAAAAAGGCTAATTTCAACTGTTTCAGAAGTGCTAGAGGCCAGGCTGGCACGAGAAGCCACAGTTCTGATAGAGAAGGACGCTGGAGTAAACAACATTCTTGTACAGCTGGGTCGAGATACTGCTATCATAGAGGCACACAAACTAATGCTGAAACAGCAGCAGGATAAAGTTGCCCAAATCCAACAGGTAACCTAGCCAGGTTTTCAGTTTATCTAGTCTAGGAATGAAAAGACAATATATTGTAGAATTTCAACGTTTTTACCCTTCGATCATAAGGGCTCAAAAAGCTTAAATAGTTAAAATAATTTTTTAAAAGCTTAAATAGTTATTTAATACAGGGTTTGCTATTTTTAATAGAAACTTCTGACCATAATCTTCCTCTAACGCTGAAGATCAAGATTATTATTCTTACAGGCTCTTCCTCAACTGGAGATACAGCGGAAGAGATTCGAATCTGACTCGAAGAACATAAAGCTGACAATAAAAGATACTCTGGGTCAGCTGACCTCTATCAGCTTGACAGAGCTGAGATCCATCAATAAACCGGACTCGCATATTGAGGATATTATTGTCGCCGTTATCATGTTATGTGAGTAGTGACCTATTCGTTGATTATGTTAATTATGTTAATTATGTTAATTATGTTAATTATGTTAATTATGTTAATTATGTTAATTATGTTAATTATGTTATTTATGTTAATTATGTTAATTATGTTAATTATGTTAGTTATAACTTATATCTGCTAGCTGGTATGACTGTTGACAAATGTACAAATAATAAATGGAGAAATGTGCAATACTTTCTAAGGTTAATAACTAAGATCTCCTAAAAGATATGTCCAAATATTATTCTATAACAGATTCAAATTATAAATACAACGACTAATTTATAACTATATGGTTACATTATTTAAGTTATTAATCAATCATGACTGTAATCGTGGACAGCATCTATACAACATCGAAATATGAAAATCTATGCAATGGCAAGATAAATAATAACAAGTTATGTATTATCATGTGTATTATGTGTGCAGAATACACCTCATGATATGACTGATCACACTAAGCCTCATAGGTGAATGTGAATGAATTGTTTGATTTTCTATTATTTTGATTGCCCTGTATTCTGTAACTTTGACTGAGATCGAGATTCGAGACCACTGTATATAAAGGATGTATCGACTTCCATACTGAGCTTGAATTTAATTTTTAAGGCATCAATGACCTCTCTGATGAATATTTCCAGTCCTCCAAATATAAGATCATCAACATGGATCACTATGATCCCACACGGCTTATCATTTCTCTGTAAAAAGAAAAAGGATTCATCGTACACTGACACTGCTACACAAAGCTCTACTAGGCCTAGGGTATCTCTCATTTCGACATACCACATTCTTGGGCCATCAACCAAGCCATAGATGCATTTTAGGAGTTTCCACAATTTACCAGATACCTCAACTCTCAGAGTAGTGAATACGTTGGCACGTGCCTGCATCTGTCAAGTTTATTCGATCTTGTGACTCACACGTGACTTTTTATTGACATTATATTATTACACTCGTTCAACTAATGTAAACTTAGCGTATGAGCAGCAAATTGCGGAACACGATATTCAGACCTTCAGAAGATCAGTGCGATTAGTTTTTTAATCGCACCAACTATGTTTTTGGTGTTTCTCAAAACAGTGCGATTATTTTATAATCGTACTCCCTGTCGTGTCACGTCTGGTCACAAGTTTCATTTAGCCCGGAGGAGAAGAAACCGGGGGAAAATCCGGTGCGGTAATGAAAAATATAAGTGGCCGTCAAATAGGCCAAAAGTGGAGATATTTAAGTTATTAATCGATCATGGCTGTATTCGTGGCATCTTTAATGTGTTGCAATCGCAAGATAAATGTTAATAAGATATCCAGGATAGACATTATATTCTGACTCCGTTTTACTCTCCCCAGTAAAATCGCCTATGGCTGACCTAACTTGGAACAAAGGAGGGAAGAGACTACTAGCCGGTATAGACCGTCTTATAGAGCTGCTCCACGGTTTCGACGAGAACCCCCTCCCTGACAAGGCCCTGGAGAGTGTGACGCAACTGCTGGGAAGTCATGCTTTCAGCCCGGAGTACCAAGCCAAGGATCATTCCATCAGCTGTGTTCCTATACTCAGTCTTTGGGTTGTTGCAGTTGTCAAGTTAGTCTTTTATCGTGAGGTTATACTTTTATCATAGACCGAACAGTCTCTTCTTTTTAATTTGTTTCGGTAGGAGTACTTCTAGTATTGCTATATTTTCAAATTTGGCATTGATTCTGGAAATCGATATTTGATCACGTGACTTTCATTAATATTAACCATATTTCAGGTACCATGTCCATCTTCTGAACAAAGTGCAGCCAGCCATTGTTAGAGTTGATAAGGCTACACAGGCTCTTGATATTGCGAGGCAGAAGCTAGCTGTCATGGAATCCAAAATAAATGTGAGAATTTCTTCTGGAAGCGTTTTTAAACCTTTGAAAATAAAATATCATCTCGTCATAATATATCACCATCTTCAGGCTCCTAAACCTATCTTTCTAAATTTAAACCGGCCAAACTTTACTAGGTTCTCCAAGAAAGGCTGGACGGTTTACAAGGCTCATACGAGCAAGCAACAATAGACAAGGACCACCAAAACAGTCAGACTATCCAAATGAGAGGAAGTCTGGCTGCTGCTGTCTCATTTACTGACGCTCTCAAGAACATGGAGAAAACGTGGAGTAACGAACTAGCCAGCATTCCTCTCCTCAAAGAGTTAGTTTTACGAATACCGCATTTCTTTTGTTAGCATTAAACATAGTGACGACAATTTTACCTCTATTTAATTGTCCATAGGCAAAAAAACCAGCTGATAGAATTGCAAATATATATATACATATCACCGGAGACTCGCGGGCGGAACAAAATATTGCACGCGCACGCGCGTGCAATATTTCATATGTCCCCGAGGGCGCTAGCCCGAGGAGGACATATTTTCGTATAGCACGGAGGGCCCATAGGGCCCGAGTGCTATACGATTTTTCCGCCCGCGGGTCGAGGTGATGTGGATTATATCCACCAGCGGGCGTATTACAGTTAATATATAATTTTATAAATAAACAATGGAGCTTGTATAAAAGTCAACTCTAGAAAAGGTCGCCACTAATTGTTGTAACCATGGTAACACGTCACGTGTTCAATGTAAGCCAATCATAAAGGGCTGTGTCGTATATAGGGGCTGGAGATGCACTGCATTCCTGGGCCGTGGGAATAATGAATGTAATGTCAGTGACGATGAATATCAATAATATAGGGGGATTATAGTGCTGATGTGTATTGTGTAGTGTGTTATAATAACTTTGATATATATACATATCACCGGAGACTCGCGGGCGGAACAAAATATTGCACGCGCACGCGCGTGCAATATTTCATATGTCCCCGAGGGCGCTAGCCCGAGGAGGACATATTTTCGTATAGCACGGAGGGCCCATCGGGCCCGAGTGCTATACGATTTTTCCGCCCGCGGGTCGAGGTGATGTGGATTATATCCACCAGCGGGCGTATTACAGTTAATATATAATTTTATAAATAAACAATGGAGCTTGTATAAAAGTCAACTCTAGAAAAGGTCGCCACTAATTGTTGTAACCATGGTAACACGTCAAGTGTTCAATGTAAGCCAATCATAAAGGGCTGTCATGTCGTATATAGGGGCTGGAGATGCACTGCATTCCTGGGCCGTGGGAATAATGAATGTCATGTCAGTGACGATGAATATCAATAATATAGGGGGATTATAATAGTGCTGATGTGTATTATATGTAGTGTGTTATAATAACTTTGATATAAATCAAAGTATCATGTCATCTGCTCACGAGCTGCATGAGCAGCCCTACCGGATAAAAAAATAAAATGTATTATATATAGTCAGTGTAATAAGGAATTTCACATGGAGATGATACAGAAACTGAAAATATTTTAGAGAACTCCGGGCTATATTGCTACTGGTCAAATTAAATGTCACTTGTTAGCGGGCTATATCATGAGCGGGCTGTAGAGATATCGGGCCCTTTGACAGCGGGCTGGTGAGAGCCCGCTATGCGAAAAAGCGCACGCTGGTGGATATAAATCAAAGTATCAGCCCGCCCATGATATAGCCCGCTAACAAGTGACATTTAATTTGACCAGTAGCAATATAGCCCGGAGTTCTCTAAAATATTTTCAGTTTCTGTATCGTCTCCATGTGAAATTCCTTATTACACTGACTATATTATATACATTTTATTTTTGTGTCCGGTAGGGCTGCTCATGCAGCTCGTGAGCAGATGACATGATACTTTGATTTATATCAAAGTTATTATAACACACTACATAATACACATCAGCACTATAATCCCCCTATATTATTGATATTCATCGTCACTGACATTACATTCATTATTCCCACGGCCCAGGAATGCAGTGCATCTCCAGCCCCTATATACGACACAGCCCTTTATGATTGGCTTACATTGAACACGTGACGTGTTACCATGGTTACAACAATTAGTGGCGACCTTTTCTAGAGTTGACTTTTATACAAGCTCCATTGTTTATTTATAAAATTATATATTAACTGTAATACGCCCGCTGGTGGATATAATCCACATCACCTCGACCCGTTGGCGGAAAAATCGTATAGCACTCGGGCCCTATGGGCCCTCCGTGCTATACGAAAATATGTCCTCCTCGGGCTAGCGCCCTCGGGGACATATGAAATATTGCACGCGCGTGCGCGTGCAATATTTTGTTCCGCCCGCGAGTCTCCGGTGATATGTATATATATAAGTCATAACATCTCTTCCCCAACCAGGCACCTGGAGGGCAGTGCAGCTATAGCGGCCGCCTCCTCCGTCTACATGGGATCCTACCCCTACTCTCAACAACTGCTGTTACCTCCGGACAAGTGGTTACCGTGTCTCTCCGAGCATTCCATTTCTGTGAAGCTCAGTAATGATGAGGATCTCACTTCTAGGATTGTTTCCACCTTCCCTGGATACATAGGTAAATGCGTGCCAGTACTGCCTTTATTCGGTTAAGTCCGGCAATATTTTAAGAATATGGTTCCTTTTTTTATACTCTTTCTCGATGATCGAAATTCAAAGTACGATTTTTATATTAAGTATCACCCTTAAAAACAGTAACCACGGTTATTACAGGACAAGATAAGAAAGTATCCTCGCCAGAGGACCTATCACTGAGTGAAATCTTCACCCTAATATCCGGGTCTAAGGATCTGTTGAGGTGGGATGTCGGACATGGTCCTACCCAGGGTCATCTTCTTGGTATCGTCTCGGCCCAGTTCTCTTCTGATGGGGTATGGAAATTAAATCTGAAATATTCATCTTTTTTATAGTAATCAATTTTGATTGTGGTTTAATGTTTTGAGATGAATCTCTGTTAAACTAGCTAGTATTTGCATTACGATAGAAACGGTTCCTTAATTTCCTCACTTTTCCAGGAATACGCTCCCAAGTTTCCCCTTCTGATAGACCCCGATGGTATCGGATACCAGCGTATCCAAGAGTGGGAGAGTTCAAATAAACTCGTTACTATCGATATGAGTAACAGGTAAGAGGTTCAGATTCAACAATCAGCCTGCAATAAATCGTCGTAACTCTTTCTTGTAATATAGTGTCGTAATATTTATTGGATATTTTACAATTTATAAATTATAAGTGCCAACCCCCGCTAATCCGAAACAATGTTTCTTAAGACCCCATGTTATGTCGTGTCTCATAATCGTTGTTCTCAGCGAGTCACGTGCGATTGCAGCATTGGGTAGAGCAATCTCACTAGGGCTCCCGACCGTTCTTCTGAATATCGGAACTGATATACCTCCCCTCATCTACCCTCTCTTTGAACAGCGGCGCCATATTGATGGAGATGGTTAGTCTAGATCTAAACCGAATATATTGCTAATTTATTAGTTATCTTGTTTAAATTAATTTATTTCATTTTTCTTTTCATTGACTGGCAATGTAATTGTGATTATTATCGGTTGTAAGACCCAACTCACCAGTCACCACCTCAATCAGTGGAGACAATAAAGCTAGGAGGACAAAAGTTCCAGTACAACAGAAAGTTCAGACTGTACCTCGCAACAACAGAGCCGGAGGAGTCTATCAGTCAGACTTTGCTGAGTTACACCCCTGTTATCCAGTTCACCCTCACTCCTCCCCTTGTGAAGGAGCTGTTACAAACTGCTCTACTGGCTATCGTAAGTTAACCCCCGCCCCTGATTTTATCGTTCTTATGGGTGGATTTATGGAAGGTTTCAACTTTAACTTCTGTAGCGATAATTCTTATCATTCTTATCATTCTTATCATTCTTATCATTCTTTTCATTCTTATCATTCTTATCATTCTTTTCATTCTTATCATTCTTTTCATTCTTATCATTCTTGTCATTCTAGTCATTCTTATCATTCACACATGCCAATTCGATTTATTTAACCAGTTTAAAATCCCCTCAGCTGTTCCCGGCGGTAGGGTGGGTACAACAAGCCGTGCCCCAGATGATATCGAAAGTGGCTGTGAAATTAGAGAACACCTGCAATCAGCTGAGAAAGAAACTGGGACAGAGTGTTGAGACTGAAATAGATGGGCTGAACAGTTTACTAACGCAGCAAGACCAGGTTTGTTTTTCGTTCTTCATCATTTTGTCTAAATCTTAACATTTATTCGGTCTTTATTGTCTTGTTATCTGTATTTCTGCTATAACCTCACTTTTAAATACACTCCAGCTGAACGAGACTCTTTCCAAATTGCTCCTCTGTAAGGAGAAATGTCTCCTCGTATCCGCCTCTCTTGCTCCCATTATCAACAGATGCTCCACTCTCCACACCGCCATCCAATCCCTCTCCCATCTCAACAATAAGTACGCTGTCGCCTTTAAAACCTTCAAGTCTTGGATTGTTGATGCTATCGAGAAAACTGAAGGTCCTCAAATTATAGCGGTAAGTGATATTTTATTCATTTTCATCAATTTCGTCAATTTACAGCGCTTCTTCAAAAAAAGTTGCGTAAATCTTTCTTTCGAATCTAAAAAAGATTAAAAGGAAAACAAGATAACGATCCAATAAATCCACAGACAAAACAAGGAGACCTCGACAAAATGTCAGAAACAGAAATGTTGGTCTTGTTGGAGAGTTTAATAATTCCAGATGATTCGAGGGTTGAGAGTATTCTCCAAACCGTTACTTCTGCTATCTGGGATAGCATATCCTCGTGAGTTATATTTCTCTTGAGTTTCACGTACTTACTTTGGTTACTTTGGTGTGCTTCATAGAATCCTCTATCGGGTCATCAGAGTTGCTGACCACCCGGACAGCGAGATCGCTGCCTTTATTCCACTCCAGTCCAGTAACGAGTTCCCATTTCGACAGCTGTATCCTGCCACTAGAACGTCGAACCAAAGAAATCAAAATTGATATTATATCAAATTGTGACATTTGATCGCTTAGTTAAAACCATTAAAAATGGGAAATGAAATACCTTTAAACCTGTATTGTCTGTCAGGAGCATATTCAAGAGTGACTCCCTGATAGTAAGCGTGCTGTTCAGTGTGATGGTAGCAACAAACATCGAACGTCTACCCTACACTGTATTCCAAGTTCTCACTGATAGTAAGTCGCATCATGGTTTCTCACTATCCCTCAATCATGATGACTAGTTAAATTATGATTTGTAATTGGATCGGCTAGAGATGAAATAGATAACCTAACACGACTTGAAGCGTTGGTTTTTGTCATCTTATCCCCTTGTTTCCTGAATTCACTCTCCCAAAATGTCAAGAAATCATTGATTCAGGTTTAGGAAGTGAAGATAACTCGCAAGATCTGGGGTAGTAGACCGGCCCGACTGGGTAGCTACTGAAGACGAGTGGCAGAAGATCTGTGCTTTAGAAGAGGTACCTGCCTTACAGGGACTCTCTCAGATGATTGATGTTAGCTGGAACGAGTGGTTGGAGGACTGGAAGTGTCAGCCTTCTCCTGGGATATGGCACGCTACAAGACCACAAGGTTGCTTTTTTACTTGGGTTCTAAATGTAACTGTAAGATGCAAGGTTGACCCTACATTATATACTTAATTTAAATTTAATCAAACATGCCTAACCACCATATTCCGTGTAACACATTTTCTACCACCCAGCTGAGGGTAGTTTCTACGACATCCTCATTCTGCACGTGCTGAGACCACTGCGCGTCAGAGAAGCTATGATCCACTACGTAGCCTCAGTGGAACCAGCCTTCTCCTCCCCCGCCAGGATGCTTTCCCTGAGAGACCTTGGTGCAGGGAAACCCCTTCTACTCATATACGACCATTGCCCCAACAAGCTCAACAACTACCTCGAGAAAAACTTGGTCAGTGTCGACTTCAAGAATGAAGTTTGTGCTTGTTTAGTTTTTAGATTTCACGATATAGTGAGATATGAAGATGTGATTTTTTCAAGACCCTTGGCAATATTTCATCGTTTAGCGAATTGTTATCTAAACAAATCTTAAACTGTCAATACGTAATAAATTAATACTCACATAAAATGTAACAGATAGAGAAGGAGAACCACGTGAACATGATAACAGTAGGGTCCAACACATCAGACCTGAACTCTGTCTTCACTGACGACGGATGTTTGGTGCTCCACAAGATACAACTGGGCAGTGAGGAGTGGTTATCTGTCCTGCACCAGCAGCTGGCTGTCCTCAACAGGAAGTTTGAACTTTCTTCTCAGGATGTGATGGGATTGTTGAATGGTTTGGGGAGTTTAGGAAAGACGCCGACAGCTAAATCAGGTGTTAGTCGGTGTATTCTGACTGTTGAGAGGGAATCAAATCTTCACCAAGGTTTGTCTTACCAATTCATCAGACATTTCCTCCTGACCAGATTCGTGTCAATCTTTAGCAGTTTTTAGATATTCGTCAGTGATGAATGTGATTAATCTACTAATTTCTCACCGATGTTTACTTGATAACCCAAATATATATTAGTCTTACCACCTAAAGCTACCTCGAAAGCTGAATCATTAAATATAAAAACATCTCATATTATCCACGTAACCCTCTCTATATCAGGTTTGGTGAAGCTGTGTAACGTTGTGAGTGTGGACACACTCATCCCCCCAATTGACGTGCTCCACCTACCATCCCTCTGTGCTTCTAACGCTCCGCCAATTGAACTATCGTGAGTTTATTTTGTACTGTCTCTACCATGTTTAGTGTTTACTGCCTCAGTTTCATTTATTGCTACAGCTTCCTTAAGTTTGCTTTTTTTTCTCGATTATTTTTGCTTCGTGATAAATGCTAATGTTCTGCCTAAGTCCTAACGCTTTGATTGGGTCCGGTTCTATCCTAATTCCTTCAATTCCACAAACTTCATCCGGAATGTCTTAATTTTCCAGGACCAAGAAAATGCGAATAGCGATACTTCACAGTATAATTCGACAATACTGGGCGGTTTACAAGGATCAGAACGAGATCAGTGTATCTGTAACCATGGCCCTGGAGGAGACGCAGGATATTATGGATATGCAGGATATTGTTAATGTGCTGACACAGGTATTATTATTTGTAATCAGGTCCATTTTATTCAGTGGTTACCAATGATAAACCTCTTCTGTAGGTTATCGAATGTGCAATTCATTATTGAACTGTTTTATGAACAAATAGAATATATAGACAGAGCATTTCAATGCTATCCTCTCGTGGGCTATCTTGGCCCAGCTTCTCTTTAAAAAAAAGAAAAAGAATATATAGAGTTCAGTGGAAACTGATAACTAATGGCAGTTCTTGGTCAGGTAGTTTACAGCAGTATGTTAAAATCACGACAAGAGAGGGACCTGGTCATGTGTCTTACAGAGAGAATCTTTTCCGCTCCCAACTCCATCCTCTTAGATGCTACTGCCCCAAGTGAGTCTATTAATGTTGTTAGAAAGCAGCTCAAATAAAAAGAATTTGATGCAACTTGTCAGTAACATTATGATCGTCTTAAAAGCAGAAACAATGAAACAGTATTATACGTTACAACAGCTTCAAAACATTTTCTAGGCACGTGAGGTACCTGGACCAGTAAATATGTGCGAACTTCAATAACAAACATTTACCTAACCAGACAAAAATCTGTGCAGTGAAACTAACATACTAACAATCTGTGCAGAAAAACTAACAAATCGTCAGTTCTTATACAAATTTCATAATAATTTTCACTGCTCGTCCCCAACGGATGTCTCAGCCTCCTCCTTGTCAGAAATTTTCCCAATAGCAATGTCAGATATCAAGTTCTCTGCTTTTGCTAAAACACTCATCATCTTAGAGAAGACTTGCGCTTTCTGGCGACCTGATCTGACTCCTGTACCAGGGAATTAATCCTCTCGTCTGTCGTGTACAGGGTTTTAATCAGCTTGTTGGGCAAATTCGTGGTCAAATCCTTTACCATGTACCTCATAATGGCTTTCAGGAGTACATCAACCAACTGACCTCTAACAATACAGAAGTAATGGATTATCAACTTGAGGAGGAGTTCAGCTTCGTTGTTAGACCTGGCTTCTGTTGTCGTTTTCTCTCCTTCAGCGTATCTGCCCATGAGTTTGCCGAATGCTGTAGAGTTGGACCCTGGTGTCTTCATGTATGTCAAGTTTTCAGCTTTTTTAGCCTCGGTGGCTTGCTTTGACTTCATTGCCTCCGCAGATCCTCTGAACATATCAGCGGCAACCTCGTATCTTTCAATAAACTCAGGGTGGTTCGTGTTTATGTAAGCGTGCTCGTTCGCGAGGTATTGCTTGATGAAAGTTTTTGTTTCTTTCATCTGATCTACGAGTATTTCGTTACAGATCTGCGTAACCTCTGATGCAAGTGTGGGATGTCTCCCCAAGGTTCTAATTGCGATGAGCTCCAGTGATTTCTTAAGGCTTCCGTAAGACTTATCAATGGCACTAGTGGCAGGATTGTCTAGTAACTTGAGTTGCTTTGAAACCAGGCTGTTGAACACTCCATCAGGAATGAAAAGGGCTGGTTGAATTCCACCGGTGTTTTCTATTAGTTCCTTGATGTTGACAAGACCTTTATCCGCTTTTATGTTTGACAATCTTTCAATGCACTCGGCTTTGAAAACTTTGAAAAGTTCAGCTCCTGCAGAAAATGTCCCTGTTTTTGTGCGTCCTCTGGCCGTTTCGCTGGCGTCATCTTCCGAATAGCTGAACTTTCCATCCATAGATTGAGTAATAGCTTCTGTAAACTGACTGATTAAAGAGACCAGAGCTTGTCTTGGATCCACGGACTCTTCCCCTACATCTTCTAGAATAGACCTGTGTTTCGCTCGTTGCTCGGTTATCTTCTCTGAGACCTCCGGTAGTACCTTCTTCAGATGACTGATGAGGATGTCACAGAGCTGGCTGCTGAGATATCTTGTTCCCATTCTGTCTGCTAGATCAGGAAACGTCTCCTGGAAATACTGCTCCTCCATCTCCATGACTTCTTCAACAGGAACATTCATCTCCAGCATCTTGTTATTCTTGTTTATCACCCCAATCAAACCTAACTTCATACCAACCTTGCTACCTTCTAAAACCTCATGAGCTTCTTTACCTCGCTCCATGAGATCACATTTAGTTACAACAGCCAGGGTCCTAGACCCACTTTGATCGACTTCCCGCGCCAGTTTCAAGGAATCAGAGTTGGCAATATCCACGTTCCCTGGAGAAACAGCCAGTATTATGCTGTTTGGCCGGCTGATGTAAGAAAGCACCATTTTCTCAATCTTACGGTCTATGTCTTTAGGCTGGTCCCCAATTGCTATTTTAGTTAGCCCAGGCAGATCAACTAAAGTCAAAGAGGGTGTTTTTGTGGAGTGTAACTTCAGGTGTATGGCCTTTTCATTGATGCCCTTATCTTTACCACATATCCTGTCAGTATCCGCTATAATCTCGTCTTGAACCCTCTCCATATCAGTGAAGACCTTATCTTCGGAATGTAAGAATTTAGCCCAAGTATGTCTCATCTCCCCTTCTATCTCCATCCCCTTATCTTCCTTTATCATCTGCAGGACTAGAGGTCGTCTTGTAACAATCCCAGATCCTCGAGGTAGGAAGTTCTGTTTAGCGATACTCTCCAGGACGCTGCTCTTGCCAGCACTCTGACTCCCTACTACTACGATCTGGGGGAGGTCTATGTCCTTGCATGATACTCCTGATGCTGTGAAGACATCTTGTAGTTTGTTTAGAGTCGCAAGGAACTTGTCCATTATTGCTAGTAGGGGGTAAGATGAGTGGATAATTTGTATCTAAAGAAAATTGTACTGCAATAATTCACGAATACTTATCTGTCGTCATCGTTTTCATGGTTCAAGATTTACTTTATTACCATCGATATTTATCGCGTTTAAAACTCGACCCAAAAACGCTTGATGTGCAAACGACAGAGAAATACAATAGAGTAAACTCAAGTATTGAATTGATATCTCGTTATCAAAGCAGCCAACTAAACACTGCCAATCTTGTGACAAAAACGTATTATGTTTTGTCAGTCAAACTCTCGTTCAATTCACATGTCGAAGTAAGTTAGGCTGTCAAATCGTGTCACTTGTTTTTAATAAACCGACGTCCTGATACTCTGATATGCGGGACACATTCAGAATCACACTGCTTTAAAATAATTTAATAAGTTAACGAAACGAGTTATTCTCGTTGTAAAATAATGATAACACTTTTACTCTCATCCAAATACATCCCCAAAAAGTCACTTATATTACTTATATTATTTCTGTTGCTACTGTATTATTTCTGTTCCTACTGTAACATTTTCGAGCAATGACCGCCTACTAAATACTGAATCCTTATAACCCGCAGTTCCATTACCAACATCAGATGCTTCCTGGGTGAAGTGGGTAGAAGATAATATTCCTATATCACTAGACTTTGTTGGTCTAAGTCAGAGTGTTATTGAGAACAAGATACTTGCAAGGTAAGCTGCTGTACTGAGCTATTAGTTAAACCTTCTTCAATTATTGATGTTTTTTAATATGACCTGACGTTGGGTAAATAGCATGTCCGATATAATGTGAAATATTTCAGGAATGCAGTGCTGTCAAAGAAGGTGGGTCACCTGATGGAGCAAACTGCGATAACACTATCCAGTCCTGTCTCTCCTCTAGTCCTCGTTCAGAGACGTATTGTTGGTGAGTTACACTTTTAGCTCAAATAATGGTTATTTCAAACCCAACATGACACTTATAATTTCTCACATTTATTCAAAATCGCTGTAATTTGAAATGTTTTAATTAAATGGTATTCCTTCGTTTTAACCTCATTTAGCACTTTATACCATTTAAGTACAATAGTAACCCTCACATCTCCCATCTCAATCCTCAGAATACATGGAGGTACTACCACCAACCCTACCCGCCCGAGTACGCACTACCAAAGCTGTGGGAGGATCTGAACTCTACAAATACTGGCTATCACTGGAGATAGAGCATTATTCGGCAACACGTGACAAGATAGCACGTGACTTGAAGACCCTCCACGCTAAACTAATCCAGGGTTTCTCTACCCTGAGTGAGAAGGAGCTGGTTGTTTACCAGGCTATTTACAGGTCAGTGAAGTTTTTAATAATGTGCTTCTTTATCTTTTATCTCTCGCATTGATATCTCACGTTTTGGGTTATTATGTGAGAAACAAAAATCCTGGCACAAATGTTATTTATTATAATTTGATTATACTTTTTTGTCTTCATGCAACCCTTTAATCTTTCAATTACAATCTATTCAGGAACCAGCCGCCACAAAGTTGGCTGTACGAGGCTGTGTCCCCGAACAAGCTAACCAACTTGTCGTGGATCAGAGTCCTGTTTGAAGCACGTGCCCAACTAATCACACTACACGAGGGAGGCAGTGGTATATGGGCTGGATGTCTGGCTGATCCTAGAGTTCTTCTTCATTCCTTGGTGCAGGAGAAATCAGAAGCAGATGGAATCCAGGTGTCGCAGGTTTGTTGAACTGGGAGAGTTAAGCACTATTGTCGTTTTGATTTGGGACAAATTTAGTCTACTTTATTCCCATCTTTAGCCTTAAAAAGGAGAGTTCAATATTTATCCGCAATTCAGGTGTCTTTAAAGATAAACCTGTTGGAAAATCTACCAGCTGTCGAACGAACCCAACTTGTTACTTTGAAGGGGGGAGTCCTTATTTCAGGTACTTTTTCTATACTTCTCATAAATGTTGATCTACAAATTTTGTTTTTTGTCACTTTAGTGAACACGGTATCCAATTCTCATCGCTGATGTTCGACTAGGAATCAAACTAGTAGGAGCTGACTGGAACACTGAAAACCAGACGCTAAAAGACGGAGCCGCCGAATATGCTCCCCACTTTGTCCACATCTACGCTTCCTCCGATGAAGTTTCCGGTTACACCTTTAACTGTCCCCTTTATCTGGACCAGCAGAGAACAGAGAGTGTGGTAGATTTCCAGCTGAGCTCCAAAACACCAATCTCTAACTGGTCTCTTTTAACTGTCAGTCTTGTGGTCGTGAGAACCAAACCTCGGTTTCAGTTGCATCATAACATCACCAAGTACAAGGCTTTCGACAGTTCATCTCTATTTGATGTGAGTTTAATAAATAATTAACGAAATTCTTTGAAATATTCAAAACTGTAATCAATTTGGTGAAGTTATTTTCTGTCATTTTGGATTTTAAATGCAATAACCTCCCTCAGATCCAGTCAAAAGAGCACCTGTATGCTAACAAGGCTTTAGTCAGAGCCTCATCGTTTGCAGTGCCCCGTACAGCTGCTCCAACTCCTTCCTCCAGACCCCATTCTGCCACCCCGCAGAAAAAATTTGAGCTATCATTACAGCCCCAATCACCCGTGCTCTTGCAGCCAACCCCTCCTTCTGGAAGTAAGCCTGGTAGTAGGAGGATATCTGTAGCCTCGCAAATTCTTGAAAGAAAATCCCACTCTCGATCAAGAAGTGGTTCTAGATCTGCTTCCCCACTTGCGTCCCTCGGGCGAACATCTAGCTCCCCAGCTAAGGCTGTTGGAGGGGAGTCGCCGCCTGGTTCGGAGAACGGAGATAAGACTCCTCCAGGAAGTCCTAAAGGAGAAGTTTCTGACGATGAGGTATCTCTTCCTCTACTCCCAGAAGAGAGTCAAACAGATATGTTAGCGGGAAAAGAGGTTGTCATAGTGACTCCTGTGTCCGCAGGGGTGATGGTACCTCCCGAGTTCTCAAATCTTAATACAGATGAGGGGGTAAATCCTGTGAGTATCACGCCGAAATTAAAGACAGCTACTCCTCACGCTGTAGAATCTGTTCCACTCGATGCTCTCAGTGATGCAGGATCCGCTAAATCTGCTCCTGGTGTCGTGGGTGATCCAGTCAAGATCCTTTCTCCAGAAGTAAGAGATCAAAGTAAACCTCCAACTCGAGAAGCCCCAACTGGAGCTAAAGTAAACCTCAAACTCCAGCAGCCTCAACTGGAGCTAAGAGCAAACCTCAAACTCCTGCAGCTTCTACAGGAGGTCAGAGCAAACCTCAAACTCCTTTAGCCTCAATGGGAGCTAAGAGCAAACCTCAAACTCCTGTAGCCTCTACTGGAGCTCGGAGCAAACCTCAAACTCCATCAGCCTCAACTGGAGCTCAGAGCAAACCTCAATCTCCTGTATCCTTAACGGGAGCTCAGAGCAAACCTCAAACTCCTGTAGCATCTACTGGAGCTCGGAGCAAACCTCAAACTCCTGTAGCCTCTACTGGAACTCGGAGCAAACCTCAAACTCCTGTAGCCTCTACTGGAACTCGGAGCAAACCTCAAACTCCTGCAGCTTCTACAGGAGGTCAGAGCAAACCTCAAACTCCTTTAGCCTCAATGGGAGCTCAGAGCAAACCTCAAACTCCTGTAGCCTCAACGGGAGCTCGGAGTAAACCTCAAACTCTTGTAGCCTCTACTGGAGCTCGGAGCAAACCTCAAACTCCTGCAGCTTCTACAGGAGGTCAGAGCAAACCTCAAACTCCTGCAGCCTCTACTGGAGCTAAGAGCGAACCTCAAACTCCTGGAATTGTAAGTGGAGGTCAAAGCAAACCTCAAACTCCTGCAGCCTCAAAGGAAGCTCAGAGCAAACCTCAATAGGAGATTATAGTTTACCGAGTATACAACTTCTACTGATGATGAATGATAACGAAAGTAAGCTTCAAGATATTATGACTATGTTGGTGTGCCTTTGCCGGATTTTGGGTGAAAGAAAGGACTAATCGATCGTAATTTAGTTAATCAGATAATTTTTGAACCAGACGTGGGTTTGAATTTGTTGTATTTGCATTCAGGAATGCATATTGCATAATCAATAATGTAATATGTTGTTCAGTCAACATGTTCTGTTATCATCGTGTACAGTATACAATATTTGTACAGTATACACTATACAGTAAGCAATATTTGTAGAATGTATGGTCAATGGTATTTGATAAAGATCAACTTTCATAAGCCAGTTTGTATAAAAGCCACTTTTATAAGTTTATAGTAGTGACCAAACTTTTTGTACAGTTTATTTGTAAAACGTATTGAAGGGAGGTTGTAAACCTGTAAATAATTTGTCACATTTTGGTGACCGTTTCAGTGTACATTTTCATAGTTAATTTATTACACACATTACATCAGTTATTCAATAGAAGCTTCTGCTTTGCTCTGTCGAGTTATTATCTCACAGTTTTAGTAAATTTCTATACTATACGTAAAATCGGCATGATAACCAAGCTCGCTAATTTACAACATTTTTCATAAAAGTTGAATTTGTTATAATTTGAAATATTGTCGTTTTACTTTTCACTTTTAGTTTCACGAGGCACCCAACTTTTGAGTTAACTTTAATTGAAATTCAAATCCTTAACTCGAACTGAAACCAAACTTAATTAAACTTCACTGAAACATGAAACCAAATAAATATAAAATCTAACGGATTTTCTGTAGAATTGCGAGCGTGGACTTGGAGCGTGCTAAATCACTCTACACTCGATCTTCGAGATTTTTTTTAAAAAGTTGATTTTGAAACCAACTCGAACCGAAGTATTTTCGGACGCTGACTCTGCATTCCAATTCATCCCCATGACATTGTAAATAGGGTTAAACTTAAAATGCTCCCCTGGCAAGATATCGACGAAAAACTTAACGGGTGATAAACGTAACATATTGGTTTCAAATATCAGGACCGTCGACGAGTCCAACTCGGCGCGCGTCCTGGTAGGTTATAAACCTCAAACCTACAACGAAAAACTGTCATAGCTCGATCACGTGATATGACCGTTTATTGTTTAATAAGGAAGTTGGTCTAATTTATCGTTAGGGTTTCGGCATATGCTTTTTGTCAGGGATGGGATCAGATTGCATGGAGAGATAGGGTTTCCGGTTTCCGGGTTTCGAATAGTGGTTCATATCAGGGTGCAGGGCCACCTAGAGAATTGGTTGAACTCAGAGCAGTGCAGTGCGCGTGTATCGCGTTGTCCACAATTGTTAATGTTAATGAACTAGCCCGGCGCACGCTACTTCATATCACTTGTGACTTGCTCTGGCCAAGTTAGCATTTCGGGCCTAGTTAACATGAACTTAACATTTCGAGAAGAAATCGGCGCGCGCTACTTCGACAAAATCTAAACGAGTAACATCCGTTAAGGTTACCTGGCGCCCCAATATATGTGCGCGGCGTTATTTTCAAGCTTTCTGAGTACGTGAGTACAATTAAATAGATTAGCAAGCTCTAGATACGTAAGTGTAGGCAGTGCGCCATCGACCGTAAGACGCGCGCGCTGACCATTGAATGGTTTTTTAGCTCGTATTTCGGCCAGCACATTATTTCGGAAATAATCAAAAAGTTATAATACTTCCCATATAACAATTTTGTTGAAATTTGGTCAGCGTACGCAAACACTTATGTTTTACTGAACCTAATTTAGTTTGAGCAATTTCGATGGTCAGAATTTGAATTATCGACGAATTTATACCTATTTTGTCATTTTTAGACCTCTTATTCAAGGCCAATCTCTCACAACTAAATTAGGTTCGGTGGGTAAGTATGATTGGAAGGTTCTGACAAATTTTCAGCATGATTCATGTTCAGGAACCGAAGATATGATAACATAATACGACAAAAGTCAACGAATTTGGTCAAATTACGCAAGTTTTACACCTAATTTTGCTCCAAAAGCCGCGCACCATCAAATATGGCACATAGGCGAAACTCACTGATCATTCCAAAAAGGTATGAAAAATTTGGTACTGTGAAAATTCTCACAGTCTCTAGAAAACAATGGTACAAAAATTTTGAAAATCCGAGCAAGTTTATTTTTATCGTGCACCCCCTAGTAAGTGTAATAAACATTATTTGATACGCGGTCAGAAGTGAATCGCGCTACAACATATCAAATGTATAATCAGAATGGTGATTGATTAAACATTAAATTGTATTACATCGCGACCCCCAAAGCTAAATTGTAACCCTCTGTAGAAGTTCAACGATACAGGAGAACTGCGCACTCGTACGCAGCGGGTCACAAGTGATTGACGGATGTAATATGTATGATGATACTCATTAAATTTTGTTTGCATGTGGCGCGAATCTAAGAAGCAACTTTAAAACGATTACAATATTTGATTTTTTAAATAGCATAATTTTATAAATTGTGAATAGTTGAGGCAAAAAGGCTTTACGGGCTTTTTCTACTCTATACATTGACCATTGTTAATGATCGGGCCCGGCGTGCGCTACTTCGAAGAAATTTAGACGAGTAACATCCGTCAACTCTATACACTAAAGACTTGTATAACGTCGCGTCGTGACCCTCATTACAGTGGCATTTTTACGATACAGAGGGAGCCGCGCACTCGTGCGCGGCAGGTCATACAACGTATGACATGAATAAAGGTCATACAACGTATGACAACTAAAAACAACATACAAATACATTTCTTATATATTTTTGACTGTAGAATTTTAACGGGTGATAGACGTAAAATATTTATTTCAAATATTAGAACTCTTGGCGCAAACTTTTCAGCCAATCAGCATCAAAGGCACTTTCTGCCACAATTGACTCGTAATTCGACCTACCAGGATCACCGTCGACGAGTGATCGAGTTCAACTCGGCGCGCGTTTTGGTAAGCTACAGATATGAAATAGAATTTAGTGGTTTCATTAGTTCTGAAATTATTCTTTTAATCTTTTTTAACCTGAGAAAGGAAACGTACATATTTAATTTTGCATTACGTTTATAGACGAAAATAGACGAAAATAATTTTGTGCACTGCTTAGTGCTTTTTAATTTGTGTTTCCGCAGGTAAAATGGCAAATTACTGATTTTACTCAAAATTTTGCTCTGACCAGAGCTTTGTCGCTTGCATGTTGCAGTAGCGCGAAACTTAATTGACGATGTCAATTCATCGCAGCTCGGCGAGGCACAGTATTGCATTTGCGTCGCCGATCTAGCAAGAAGCACAATTGAGTGCGCGGCGCTGCACAGTAACGCATACAGCATAGCGCTATAACGCAAAACAAGCGCGTCACGCAGTACACATATATACACATGGCTATGTGAACTCAAAGCTCACTGGAAGCCAAATTATGGAAAGAGGTCAAGGGCAGACCCCGTAAGAATTGGAAGTCCTGCGTACTCGAAGATGCTGCTAAGTTTACAGGTGTTAAAAACATCGACAACAACACAACAGAAGCTTTGGCTACCAACCGAGTACAGTGGAGACATATGTTACGCCGCCAACGCGATGTGTGTGATGCAGGCCACTCCAACGACTAGGAGGAGACCTTACCATGTAACATGTATGTATGTGAACTCAAAATTTAGCAAACAATATTTTAAAAATTTGTTGAGGAAGTTAATTTTTCGCTTATCGAAAAATGTTGTATAAGCATTATATTTTATTTAAGTCGCTAAACATCAAAAATTAAGAATGTTAAAAAATTAAGCCAATTTCTTAATCATTAATTTTTTTCTGATAAAAATAAAAAATATTCACAATTTAGACTTTCGCGCGCATTTAAATTTTGGTACTTTGATGCCATGACATTTTTGTATCACGTGGTGACCCCCACGGTCGCTTCACTATAGTAGAGTTTTGACGATACAGGGGGAGCCGCGCACTCGTGCGCGGCGGGTCATACAAAGTATGACAATATATTTTGTAATATGAATTAATTTAAATGTTTTTAATACGATTGTTAATTGACGATGTCAATTCATCTCAGCTCGGCGCGGCACAGTAGCGCATTTCGCTGATCTAGAGAGAAGCCTCATTGAGTGCGCGGCGCGGCACAGTAACGCATCGCGCTATAAATACGATTGTGGACAAAAATTATTTAAAAATTAACAAAAATTTTAGGCGCGCCGCGCATATTATATATATGTTCGCTAATTTACACCTTTGTATGAAAATCGAGCGCTAAAAACTACTGTTAAATTTTCACAAGATAACCTTCAGGAAGTTAGCATTAGCCTGAACTCTCTTCGCTTTTATCTTATTCAATTTTGTTTTACTTAAATTTTGTTTTACTTAATTAAACACACGTGTTCGGATTCTACGCCCAATCTACAAATGCAGTGCAGAGCTGTGGGACCAGTGGTAAAAGGATCACTTCTCTACTACTCTGACTGAAATACTTTCCTCATGCAAACATTTCTTCTCCTTCTCATGGTCACTGCAGATCTTATCTAATGACTTAAAGGTGTTTGAGCCGTAGTTAGGACTTGTCAAAGAATGTTCTTTCAAAGGGCACATACAGTCCAACAGCTGCACCGACGGGCTTCATCCTCGGTGTTGGTCGTCTTTGTAAATGAAGTTGGTTAAACAGACAGGAGTGCAGTTCTATCTTTGTTGTACACTTTGCTTTTTGGAGGAAGACCACATTGTGTACTCCATAGCATAGACTTATGATGTCTTGGAACTCCTCCCTGTTTAGAATATAGTTGAGGTCCTTCAGTGGTAGTGTTGAGAGCCATGTTGAGGCTCCCTTCTCTCTTGCTTGGTCTACGTGGTTCTTTAGTTGATGATCTGACTTAGTACAGAGCATCTAGGACCTTTGAGGGAGAATATTCTCTTCTGTTTCCTCAGTTCTTTATTTTCTTTC